TCTACGTTGGTGTTGTGACGTGCATCTATGTTTACGCGGACACGCCATCTCGATATTGTGATGTTTGATGCGTGTGGGTGTGGTGTTTAGTATTTGGTGTTTTGGCACGTAATTACTAGAAATTCAATTCCTTGATTTCCCCGCGCTCTTTGTCTGTCAAAAGACTTGTGAATCCAACATTAGAGATCATGCAAACTAAAGTTGGCTTGTGTGTCTGTGTTCCATCTCTATGAACAGATACATGAAGGAGGGCAACCTGAGTAGAAGCGAAGAGAAGATAAGTGTATACAACAGCTCAACCAATAGAGCAACTAGTTCACCAAAAAAAAAAAAAATATGTGTATTCGTGTAGTTGTCTGACGAGTCTTTGGCTTGGCAGTCTATGTTAGATCCATGCTAAGCTCGTAAGCTTATACCGTACAGTACTGTCCAATCTGGTCACTGCCTCGCTGCCAAGACATGTTGACAACGAAGGCATTGCGCGGCCGATTTGACTTCCTGCTTACCTACTTCACGCACCCACTAGTCGGACAACCTCGTACGTCCTTCGCGTTCGTCTTACATACGCTCTTTTCTTCTCTCCGTTTCCGCAGAGTTGAAGTATCCGTGTATACGTACATACCCTTGACCTGTCGACCAAAGTCATGCAGATGTGAAAGCCCAAACAGATCCAACGAAACATGTTGGAATATCCTGTCTGGTCAGACTCACGTGAATACGAATATGAGTACCGGAAAAGCAGGAAGTAGGCAGCAGCAATGACCAAAATAACCCACGAGGACTAGTCGAAGTGAGTGACGTAGGCAATATATGGAAAAATGTACAGTAAATAAAAAGTTCCATCTATATCCATTCGATGCTATACTTTTAAGTCTACCTCGAGTACCCCTTACACAAGAAAGATTTTTCAGATCCTAGGAACAAGTAGCGCCGAAAGAGAACCGAGATAGGTACCTAATGCGACATGTGCAGACCAAACTTGGAATCTTGGGCGGGAGTCTCGTCGAGGAGGTCGGGAGATGGTTGTAGGGCAACGAACAACTGCCTGACTGAGTATCTTCAGACCAAAAGTAGTAACTCCAAGTCACCTCGTAGCTCACACGCCCTATTCTAACCTCCCCTTCGTCCACGGAACCTAGTCCGCCCCTCCAAGCCTAATTCCATCTCTTCACCGTTTTTTTCAACGTCCACTAGACACAAAGTACCTCAATCAGAGACTAAAGTCCCATTCACCTCTCCCACTCATTGGCACCAAAGTATCTCGCAGGGAGATCCACCTCCCAAATAGGCCTCTCAACAAGAACAGCCTCGAGCGAGGGAGTCTCAACCTTCTCCCCATCGGCTCTGGCTCCCGCAGCATCAGCGCCAGCGAGGGGCGCTATACCCAAGATGGGACGGTACTTGTACGTATACCACCACCTCGTCTTCCCCTCGGCGCCCGCCTCCGTCTGCGTCTCGCGGTTCCGGTTCCGCAGGGCCGCGAGCTCGCCGCCCTCGCTATCGCTAGCGTTCTCCCGCTCGTTCTCGTCGTCGGAGTCGCTGGACTCGGCGCCGTCAACATCCATGGCGTCCTCGTCCTTGGCGGCGGGATTCTTCTCAATGTCGTCCTGCCATTCCTTGCCGCCGGCCTTGGAGCCGACGAAGCGGTCGACTTGCTGCGGGACGATGGCGCCGACTTCCATCCGGGCGCCGGCGCCGCTTTCGGGGCCGCCTCTGCGCTTGCGCTTTGTGCCGGCCGCGTGCGGTACGAGGGCGTTGGTGGGATCTTGGTCCGTTGAGCCTGAGGGGATGCCGAGGTCCTGGGAGAGGTCGAGCATGAAGAGGAAGGAGACGCCGTAGATCCAGATGCGGGGGCCTTGCCAGAGGAGGCCCTTTGCGAGGTCGCGGGTGTCGCGGATGGTGGCGGGGAGTCTGGAGATGGGGTTGCGGCGGGACCACGAGGTGAGGGAGCCGGCGACGGGGTGGAAGGCGAGGATGTGCCACGCCGTCGTGACGGCCACGAGTGTGTAGTCTGTCGTCGGGGCGCCGTCGGTGGCGGCGACGGTCTCTTCTGAGAAGGAGAGCACAACGGGCGGCGCGGGGAGTCTGGGGATGAGTGCTGCGCGGGGGTTACGAATCCAGCTCTCGGTTGAGGAGGAGGTGTCGTCCTCGTTTGACGAGTCCTCGCTGTCAGAGTCCGATGACGCGGCTTCGTCGTCGTCTTCGTCTGAGGTGGTGTCCTGCGGGGTTCCGAGGACCCAGGTGTCGATGTAGCCGGTCAGATCCGCCGCCGCGAGCATGCGGCTGTCGGGCGAGAAGGCGAGCTGGGTGATGGTCCTCTCGTAGTTACCGAGGCCGGCCTGGGGCTGCTGCTTGGAGGTCTTGCGGTCCAGGCGGCGGACGACGCGAGGCTTCTGGATGGTGATGGTGTTGTCGTCGTCGCCACGGATGACCTTGGCGACGAGGACCTTGGATCCCTTTTGGATGGCGGCGATGTAGCTGCCGTTCGGCGACAGGATAATCTTGCTGGCACCGTTTGAGAAGGTCTTGGGCACGGCGACGGAGGCGAGCTTGACGTCCGAGGGCTTTGTGGGGTTCTGGTGCTGCAGGTGGAAGGCCTTGACGTCGGTGCCGGTGGCGGCCACGAGGAATGAACCGTCCGCGGTGATTGCGGCCGAAGTGATGTTGGACTCGCCCTTGACGAGGATGGTCTTGAGGAGCTTGCGGTTGTTCTCGAGGTTCGCGTCCGCGTTGACCTCGGCGCCGTCCTCGCCGTAGAGGCCGTCAAAGGATTTTTGCAGCTTCCAGATGTGAATTTCTCTGTCCCACCAACCGACGACCAATCTCGCTGCCGGGGCGCTGGTGAGAGGCGGTGACTGGGGGAGACTAGAGAGGGTTCTGTGGTTCTCGCGGCCGAGCTCCTTGAAAGGAAGGACAACGGGGGAAGCGTCAGGGCCTGAGGAAGCTAGTTAGCAAGTGCGTAACGCATTTTGGGAATGGCAGATCATACCTCCTGAAATAACAACGCTCATCTTGTTGCTCTCGAAAGAAGCCATGGCCTTGACGTCGTGCTCGTGGTACTTTCTGCTCCAAACCTTGCCCCATCGGGCGCCAGAAGCACCAGAAGTCTTCTTGTACAGAACGGTACGACGGTCCATGCCACCGCTCATGATGGCGCTGCCATCAGCACTGGTAGCAAGGCTGAGAACGTCCTGCTTGTGGCTCTGGATGCGCTGCATCTGCGTGTACGTCTTGCCGTCCCAGATACAGACCTGGCCGGTCGAGTCGGCCGAGACAATATCCCCGGAAGGCAGAACCTTGACGCTCCAGACAATGATATCCTTGGCGCCTCCCGCCAGGTCGGCGCCGAGGGTCATGGTTCGCACCTTGTTACCGTTGCGCGTATCGTAGGCGCAGATGGTGGAGTTGGAGCAGCCCACAACAACGATGTGGCGCGACTGGAAGGCAACGCTGACCATCTGGACCTTCTTGCTAGGAGACTTGACAAGCATACGCTGGAAGCGCAGGTCGTTGTCTTCGATGGAGTATATGGCCAGCATGCCGTCAATGGTACCAGCGACGAGGCGCTTGACGGGATCGGAAGGAGAGGCGGGAGGCTGGGCAGCGAGGCACCAGATGTCGCCGTGCTGGCCGCTGGCGTGGCGCATGGGGCGGCCGGTCTCGAGGTCCCATTCCGTAACGGCGGAAGTGTATCCGATGCTGAAGAGACGCGAGGTCGAGTTGGCGTCGGGATCGTTGGCCCAGACGAGGCCGTCAACGGAGCGGTCTGAGCCGGAGCGGAGGACGGTCTCCTGGAGCCAGGAGCCGCTTAGCGGGTTCCAGATCTCAATGTCGCCATTTGCGCGACCGACTGCGAGGCGGGAGGCGGTCGCTTGGGCCTTTGAGCGGGTGGAGGGGTGGGAGAAGGCGAGGGCGTTGATGGCGGAGGGCGGGTAGGGGACGAAGCGGCAGCGATGGAGGTCCATTGCGAAAAGAACCGTGGACGGCCTCGAGGCCTTGCGATCGTGGGATTCGATGGTCAATTGGTAGCAGTATCGATCGGCCCTATCGATCTCGCGAGGAGCAGCTGTTGAAGGCAAGCTCGCGGGGTTCGGCGTGGTGGTGATGAGGCTGGCGAGGTTTGGCGGGTGGTGCAGCTTGTCTCTTTTTTTCCTGCGACCTCTGCTCGTCCTGCTTTGGCAAAAAAAATAAAAAAAATCCGGCTGCCAAAAAGTTTTGTCGGCGGTCGGAGGATGCAAAAAAATAATTAAGGTGTGGTCTGTGCTTGATGCGCCAAGTCGCATCTCTTGAGTCTTGATTCCTGAAGGAGTTGGTTGCAAAGTACCTAATGATGCTAATAATACTCTGTACGCTGCTTCAGCGTCTTCCCAGAACATCTCCTGTCCTATGAAAAGAGGCGAATGCGCTCCATGGATTGTAGGTACATAAGGAACCTTGTGCAAGGTAAGGTACCTCACTCTGCAAAGACTGCGCGACTGTTGCTGCTTATGTCATACTCTCGCTTACATAAGTCCATCGAGGTCTACTTGAGCCACGGCGTTTGCCGCAACGGCAGCTCAGAAACTTCCCCAAAGCGTCAAAGAGCATCCATCATTGGCTGCAAACATGGCTGGACCCTTTTCATCTGCAAAGGCTAAGGTGATGACTGCGCGCCAGTAAAATGGAACTATGGCTGCTGCTTGTTCTATGTAGTCGTGGGAAGCGCGGGACCCGGTCGAAACTGATGCGTCGGCCAACTCCGATGGTTGTCGTACTTGCGCTCTTTGCTTTGAACTCGACTTGGATATGTTTCGTGTCGTACCTATTATTTGGTACTTGGTCAATATGGTAATGAAAGATTACCCAATATGTTCAATATGGTAAACACAGCAGATGTGCCAAATAGTTAGGTAGTCAACTACCTTACCTTGATGGTTCAACTTTCAGGGATCCCTTGGCCCTTTTTCTCAGCCCCTCATTCCTTGTCTCCGAGTCGAAGCTGCGACAACTAAAAGTCGCATGGGAACTTTGGCAACCCCTGCTCTCTTGCTCATCCGCTCGCCCATCTGACAGTGTGAATGCAAACATACTGCGTAAGTCCATGAGTGTGCCTTATCAATCGGCTTCCGTCCCGTCACATTCCTGGGCATGAAAGCTTGCTGGTTTTAGGAGTGTCGTGCAGCAGCTGCCAAAAGTCCCACAGATTCGTCATCCTCCTCTTTCACAAGTACACAACCCCTCCCCCTCCCCCTCCTCCTCCTTGCTCCGAGCTTTGTCACGATCGCGCCGTTGTGACACGCGCATTCCGACCTCGCCTACTCTTTTTTTTTTTTCTCTGCCAATCTTGCGTTGCAACCAACTCAGCCCTTTTTTCTTCTTGAATTGCATCGCATTGCAACCGCAACGACTATATTGCAGCGATTGCGCGAAATCCAACTACCAACCCCCACCACCGACGCACCACACACCACTGCAATCCGCGACCATGGATTTCAACAGCTCGTCGCCTTTCCCCGAGGGCGTCATATCCTTCTTGGATACTGATCTCTACAAGCTGACGATGCAATGCGCCGTCTTCAAGTACTTCAAAGACGTCCCAGTATCCTACGCATTCACAAACCGCACACCCGAGAAGAAGCTCTCGAGAGCTGCCTTTAACTGGCTCCAAGAGCAAATTCGAAGTGAGTCGAAAGAGAGAGACAGAGAAGCCCCTCCAAACCCCCACCTACGACTATCGAGACGCGAAACACCTGTGACTGACTCACCCCGTGCGGCACCTGAACAGAGCTCGGCAACATCTCCCTCTCCGACGAAGAATACCGCTTCCTCAAGACCCACTGCACCTACCTGACCGACGAATACGTCCAGTTCCTCAAGGAATTCCGCCTGCGGCCGAGAGAGCAGGCCGTCGCGACCTTCCACCCCGTCGGCGACGACACGGGCGCCGACTCGGACATTGGCGACCTCCACGTCGAGATCAAGGGCGCCTGGCTCGACACCATCCTCTACGAGATCCCTCTCCTCGCCCTCACCTCCGAGGCCTACTTCCGCTTCATGGACACGGACTGGAGCTACGAGGGCCAAGAGGACCAGGCTTTCGCCAAGGGCATGCGCCTGCTCGAGGCCGGCTGCACCTTTTCCGAGTTTGGCACCCGCCGCCGGCGCGACTACCACACCCAGGCCCTCGTGTTCCGCGGCCTCGTCAAGGCGAGCAAGGAAGGGGAGAAGAAGGGCCTCAAGGGCAAGCTGACGGGGACGAGCAACGTGCACCTCGCCATGCGCTTCGGGATCCCGCCCGTCGGCACCGTCGCGCACGAGTGGTTCATGGGCATCGCTGCCATTCACAACGATTACAAGGCCGCGACGGAGCTGGCGCTGCGGTACTGGGTCGGCTGCTTCGGCGGTAAGCTCGGCATCGCGCTGACGGATACCTTTGGCACGCAGGAGTTTTTGCGGTCGTTTAGTCAGCCGGTGCACGCTCTCGATGGCGACGAGAGCAAGTTCAAGACGGCGGATGGGAGCAGGCTGTTGACGTACGCTGAGCTGTTCCAGGGCGTGCGTCAGGATAGTGGCGACCCGGCGGATTATGTCAAGATGCTGCGGACGTACTACGACAGCCAGGGGATCAAGGACAAGAAGACGATGGTGTTTTCCGATTCGCTTGATATTGAAAAGTGTTTGGAGTACCAGGCCATTTCGGAGGCGGCGGGCTTCACGCCGACGTTTGGTGTTGGCACGTTTTTGACGAACGATTTCAAGCATTTGAAGACGGGTGCCAAGTCGGTGCCTCTGAATATTGTTATCAAGCTGAGCTCCGCCAACGGAAACCCGGCTATCAAGATCAGGTCAGTTCCATTCCTTGTTGCTTCTTTTACTGCAAATTCGGTGTCAGGTGCTAACGAAGCTTCTACAGTGACAACATTGGCAAGAACACCGGTGACAAGGCGACGGTGAACAAGGTCAAGGGCGAGCTTGGGTACATCGAGAAGGAATGGAAGGGCGGCGACGAGACCCAGCGTTGGGGCAAGGACGAAAGCAAGGCATAGATAGGTATGGGGTGAGTGCCACTTAGAGCTCGTCTGGCGACAGAGTATGCAAGAGCCAAGGAGGGAGGAATTTATTGCAAGAAAGCACCTCAATGAGCATTACGAGACACAGGTGGGAAGGCATGGTGGAATTAGGAACGCATTGATAATGATGGTAGCAGGTGTAGACCTCGCGAGATACCTATTGGATAGATGAAGCAGTGGCATATGGCCAGCAGCATTGACAGATATCTCTTCCTTCCCCGTCAGATGTGTGCCTACCTATCACTGACATGCACAGGATGTACTATCCAAAGCGAGAAGTTGAGGTGAGAGGAAAGAGCATCTTGAGCTTCAGCGCGGGAAGGGATGGCACTGGTGCCTCCCGCTCTAGGTTTCCGGATCTAAGGTAGGATCGATCTCTCTGGCGAGATACCTTTTTACAAGGAGCGAGTGTTCAAGGCCAGGAAGGTCCCTTGGCAGGATACCTGAGGCAGGTGAACATCATCCGGGAGCAGCCCCACCAGCACCTGCCCAACTCAACGTGCCTCCTTCCTCCCAAAGAGGGTGGGAGGGTACTCCTTATACCCATTCAACGTCGAATCTGTCACCAGCACTCCATCCGGCCATTTGGCCGGGTGGTTAGACTCTGACGCAGAGTCGATAGTAAATGAAATACTCCAATGACTTCCGTGCTGGAAACGAGGGGCGCGCTGTTCGAATCCGAATACGGGCGTGAATCATAAGGTCAGTATCCCCCCTCCCTCCCTTGTTTCTTTTTTGTCCTTTTTTGGTTGTTCATTCGAGTGTTCTTGCGGCCGGACGTGACTGCTTCTAATATCCCAACATTTCAACAGAAAAGGTACATAAACTTATGGGCTGGTTCTTGACTCAAATGGAAGTGGTGAGCGTACTTGAGAAGATGTAGGCAAGACCACCTTAGGTACGATGCTCAATATTAATGCCTCCCGGCATACTCTTCTTTCCTATACATGATTGTAGAGAAGAGGAGAAGTCCAACCCCTCCTGCTCTGTTGAGTTTTGACTGGAAATCTGGAAGGCCCGTTCTCACTCTTCCCCTACCACTTGCTTCCTGTTTCCGCCTCTTCGTGAAGGAGCAGCAGTGGCATGCCCAACATGACGAACCGCATAAAACCCCATCATTCCCATCCTTTCCCAACTTCAACCTGTTCTTCTCTTCCATCCACCTCGTACACATCTCATTCTCTCCAATACATCACACTCTCGCTTCAAATTGGCTCGCTTTCTTGGAACCCAAGTTTTGGAACCCCCATTTCCTCGGGCAGTGCTCTACACACAACACAGTGTCGTCATTCCACTCATTCTATTCTCGTACGTTTTCAGCAACAAAACACCATCATCATGCGGCTCCCTGGGCCCTCGATGCCCTCACAACGCCAAAGTCAGACAGCAGCCGGCATTGCCCTCGTCATCTTGGCCCTCTTCACAGCCTTTGCTGTGACCCAGGCTGTCCGACCATCCCAGGACGAGTCAACCCTCTCCCAGAAGGACAATATCGTCCAGGCCAGGCAATTCCTTCCATGGATCATTGGCGGTGGTCAAACTACCACCATTGCGAATCCTGCTCAACCCGCCATCGCTACTCCTCTCCCTGCGGTTGCACCACCCACTCCCAATAACCAACAACAGCAAGGTCCTCTTGGCGGCGTCATTCCTCAAGTTGGTCATGTTATTCCCAGTCTGCTAGCTTCTTTGACTTCAGCACTTGCGGCGGTGGTAACTCCGGTTCCATCCATCATCAACCCTGGAAATGTCGTACCGGTTGTCACCAATGTTGTACCCGCGCCGGTTGAGTCCATACTCCAGCCTGGCGGCGGCCCCGTTATCCCAACCGCCATCCCCAACGTTGAAGGATCCAATGGTGGACTCCTGCCTCCGATTCAGAGTGCAGTCAACAGCATCGTCGGTGCTGGTGGCTCCGCTGTACCTCTGCCTACCGGGGCTGGACTGCCTGTGCCTCTTCCGACACAAGTCGTTGGCGGCATCCCGGTCTCTGAAGTCACTGCGGCTATTGGAAACGGCGCCTCCATCATCACCAACATCCCAGAAGTGCTTGTCAGCGTTGTATCCTCCATCGTCGGCCATATTCCTTCGGCTGTTAACAATCTTCCCTCGGCAATTCCCGTATCTGACGTCGTCGGTGCTACCGAAGTCGTCCCAGGTCTATCGTCTTTAGTAGAAAGTGTTCTGCAGTCAGCTTCAGTCATTATGCCGCTTCCGACAACAGCTCCTCAACTCCCTGAAGACTTGCCTACCGACGGAAATCTTTGCACTGGAGTCCTGTATCAGAGCTGGATTCCTACTTTCATTGCTGTTCCTTGCCCGGGAAAGTCTTCTTCTCCCGCCACGTCGGCGGCACCTTTGTCTAACGCCCCAGCTTCGAATTCTGCAGTCGTCCCAGCAAACCCTCCTGTATCTTCTCAAGTCGGACTTTTCACTCCTGCAGCAACTCCGACAGCTGGACCTTCGCAGACGCCCTCAACAGCATCGTCTCCGGCTGGTGGCGCAACTGCTATACCTCCTGCCAGCAATCCTTCGACGCAAGGTGGAGCCGGAGGCCCTGGCAACAATGGCCGACCACAGAATACTGCTCCAGCAGGTCAGCCTCAATCACCTGTGCAATCTTTGAATCCGGTAGATCCTAAGCCAGGTAAGAGACAGTCTATCTTGGCTTACACTGTGTACTGACTTACCCCTCTAGCCAACCCTTCAACTGCTGCCACTCAAGCCCCCAACCAGGGAAGTGGTGGTGCAGGAGGTCCGTCACCGGCACCAGCTCCCGCAGCCAGCCCCCTAACGACGTTGACTGTCGCTGCCGGATCACCTGTCTCCAGTCCAAACGGCGTGCCAGCCAACGACGGAAACGGCCAGAACCCTTCTCCGACCTCTCAGACAGGCGGCTCGGTCTTCGGAGTTGACGAGGGACAAGATCCTTCCTCTGGAAACAGCATACCACCAGGCACACCAGTCATCCCCATTTCCGATTGCCCTGCCGTTGTCCAATGCCCTGCATGCCCGGCTTCCCCAGCAAAGCCTCCTTCCGGCTCATGTCCTTGCCCTGGTCGAGGCTACTCTTGTTCAGAGTGTCTCAATGGATGGTTTTGTCCCCCAGAGAAAACCCCAATGCTGCCAGCGCCTTGCGGAATGGGGTGGCCTTGCTACCATTGCAAAGGTGGCTGGTACTGCGCTCCCGACAACAACAACATGGCACCCGCTGCTGCAAACGATCCTCCTGTCGTTGTGATCAAGACTGTAACAGCTTTTGTCGCTCCCCAACCCACTGGAGTTGGCAATGGTGGCACCGGAGACGGTAGCAACAACAACGGTTCTGGCAACGGTGGTAATGGCAACGGGGGCAACGGTAACGGAGCGCCTGGCAATGGTGACCCTGGCGCTGGCAATGGTGGCTCTCCGGCTACATCTACGCCTTGCACGACGGCAAGCAATGGTCAGTTCACCGGCCCTCCGGGAAATGGTGCCGGCTCGGCCCCCAAACCCAGCCCGGACAACTCTGGCAGCGGCAATGGCAATGGCAATGGCAATGGTAACGGCAACGGGAACGGCAACAACGATCATGGCAGCGGCAACGCAGGCAACGGTAATCCTGGCAACCCCGCATCAACGCCTTGCACAACCACCGGCGGCCAACCCACGGGTTCATCTGGGTCTGATGGTGGCTCTGGAGATGGTTCTGGAACTAGTGGCCCTGCAAACGTCCCCGAACCACCGGCTACATCTCCTGCTCCCCCTCCCTCCAATCCAAACCCTCCAGCCAGCCCTGGCCAACCTCCCAGTCCTGTCTCCCCGGCACCTAACGGAAATCCTCCAGCTGGTTACGGCAATTCCCCTGCGAACCCTGCCAACGGCAACCCAGATAATAGATCTGGTAACGGCTCAGGCTCAGGTGCACCAAGCGGCAACGGAGCACCTGGCAACACCGGCACTTCAATTCCAGGACCCGGCAGCAACGCAGGCGCAGGATCTGGCAATGGATTTCCGGATAGCAGTGAATCTCAACCCGCTCCTGAGGTTACTGGCTGGGAGTATCTTGGATGTTTCAAGGACTCTGCCGTTCGAACGCTCGATGGCGACCCATCCATCTATTTCACAGGGAGCATGTCAAATGAGAAGTGCATCGCACACTGTGGCTCGATGGGGTTCCAGCTCGCCGGCACGGAGTACGGCAAGGAGTGTTGGTGTGGGACTGCGTTCCAGCTGGCCGTACGCATCCCGGAAGAGCAGTGCAACGAAGTTTGCGATGGCAAGTCAAACGACATCTGTGGAGGTGATTGGGCTGTCACCGTTTACAGTAAAACCGGCCGGGCGTTGAGCTTGCCGTCCGATGACGATGTTGCCAATGGCGCCGGTGGTGGCAACGGTAACGGCAATGGCAACGGCAACAGTGGATCCGGCACCGGAAACAATGGAGGTGCCGGCAACCCACCATCTGCCCCCCAGAATCCTGCCCCGGGACCTCCTGCAGGACCTCCTGCCGCACCGCCGGCATCACCCCCTCAGACACCAGGTCAAGCTCAGCCTCCACCACCTCCGGCAGGAAATCCTCAAGACAGCAGCACTCCTCCCGTATCTCCAAACCCTGCACCACAGCCTCAGATCGACATTGCTTCTCTCATCCAGAGCATCATCAATGCGCTGCCCAAGAGCAGCCCTGATGGTGCGTACGGCAGCAGTCTGGGAGCAAGGGACTCTGGGGCGTCTGGCAGCAATGGACCCGCGCTTCCTGTCAACTCTGCTGTTCCCGATAACAATGCAGGAGGTTCGCCGATGATGGGTCCGGGTCCAATCAACCCTATGGAAGGACTCAGCCGCTATGGTGACGAAAAGAAGGTGATGCCAAGCCGGAACATGAAGCGCAGCAGTATCATAGGGCGGCGAGCGGCCGCGAGGTTTGACGGTATTGTCTGCGTTGGAGAAGATGAGAATGATGGTGATTGCTTGGCGAAGGCTGAAGTTTAGAAGGAGTTTATGTTATCGCGAAGTTATGATGATGTATGACTTATGATCATGGATGCTGGGTGCGATTACCGGAAGGTTTTGGGAAGAGACGGGCTATTACGTATGAATATTGCCTGAGCTCAGATAATGTAATGAAACATGACTTTGAACGTTCCATCTTGAAGATTCCTGTGTGATTGATTTTCAAACTCGTCCACTTTGTAATAAATCAGATGAGACCGCGAGGTCTAGAACTTGAGTTATACCTACCCCCGGTCCGCGTCTTCAATGCCCCAAAGAGCTATCGTTCCCGTGGTGTGCAATTGGCTTGCCGACTTGAACCATCCTGAAATTTCCATTGTTGAACACAGCACAAAAGAAGAGAAACTGGAATAGCAAGTACTAGTCATTCAACATTAACTATATGTAGACATTTGGCTCGTGATAGAAGGCTGTGACGCTTCACACCTTGGGACTGAGGGAATTATTTCTTTTCCAACACATTGGATGGAAATAGGCAGAGAGGATTTGAGTACGCTGTACTAGGTACTTCACTCCTTCTTCACACGCGAGTCGCATCCAAGATGGTATCCGTCAACCACCAATCCACCCTCTCGAGCTGAGCCTTCTGCGACACCTCGAGCTGCGTGCTTGTGGGCAGGCTCGCGTTCGCGTTACTCTGGTACGCGAACTGCGGGACCAATCTCACGGGGGAATCGACAGACTGCCCTGCTCCCAGGGCGCCGTAGCTGTGCCACGCGGGCGAGGTGGCGAGCTTCTCCTTGTTCGGGTCGCCGCGGCGGATGAAGCTCCCGATGTAGGCGCGCCACTCGAGCGCGAGGCTCTTTTCGAAGGGCGTCATGACGGCCGTGGCGTTTTGGAGGTAGCTGTTGTCGGCGGAGTGGGCGACGTAGTTGAGCGGGTACGGGTTGGTGCTGGAGTAGTTTGTGCCGACGCCGGGGGCGTTGAAGCGGAATGCCCAGACCTTGTTCTCGCCGACGGCTTTGGACATGTACCGTCCCACGAGGCGCTCGGAGCCGGTGATGCCTTGCTCCCCGAACGGGCTGAGGGCCATGATGTAGGACTTGAAGAGGGTCAGGAAGAAGTTGTCTGGGCTGGCGTAGCCGAAGGTGGCGTTGGCGGGGTAGTAGCTTGCGGCCTGCTTGACCTGGCTGTCGGTGAGGTTCCAGATTCCGTTTGTGGATGAGTCGAGGGCGCTCGTGTTGCGGGGTGCCGTGTTGGCGCCCTCGTCGTTGACAAAGCCTACGATTGTCTTGACCTTTGCGACTTTGCCCTTTTTGAAGAGCCGTGAGATCGAGTCCGTTAGGGTGACGCCGTCGATCATGGGGAGGAAGGCGCCTGAGCTGCCGAAGGTGAGGTTGTTGAATTCGCTGGCAGGTCCGAGAATTAAGTTAGCAGAGGGACTTGTACTCTTTTGCCAGCACATGGGACTTTCAAGGTGGTGGTTCCATACCCTGAAGAAGCCTTGTATTTGAGCAAGGCGTTGTAGGCATTCACAAGTGCAGGAACAGAGGCACCTTGAAAGCAGTCCAACTGAGCCTGTCCGCTCGTGCAGTTGAGCAGCTTAAAATACTCGGCGTTGCGGTCCGCGAGCTCGTCGACGCGGAAGCTGGGCGATCTCTGCACGGAACGGGGCACAGCCTTGGAGAACAGACCCTGGTTGTCGCCGTCGTAGAGCACCATCTGCGAGACGACGGCGTAGCCACCGCCGGACTGGCCCATGACGGTCACGTCGCCCGGGTCGCCGCCAAAGGCCGCGATGTTCTGCTTGACCCACCGGAGGGCCTGGCGCTGGTCGAGCAGGCCCGCGTTGGCGGAGGGCAGGGACGGGTGGGCCATGAAGCCGAGGGCTCCCAGGCGGTAGCCGACGTTGACGGCGATGAAGTCCTGGCTCTGGCCGACCCAGTCGCTGAAGTCGTTGTTGGGCGCCGCGCTGTACTGCAGGCCGCCGCCGTGGATGTAGAACATGACGGGGAGCTTGTCGCCGGCCTTGGCCTTGGCGGGCTTCCAGATCCACAGCTTGAGGCAGTCTTCTTGGCCCGGGCCGGAGCGCGGGCCGACGATGTTGCTGTTGATGACGCCGTAGGGGGCGCCGGCGAATTGGACGCAGCGCAGGGCGTTTTGTGTCACGTCGATTACGTCTGAGCCCCGGGTCCCGAGGGCCTTGGGAGGCATGAAGCGGAGGGAGCCGACGGGGGGCTCGGCGTATGGGATTCCCTTCCAGGAGGCGACACTTTTCGCGAACCCAAGAAATTTCAGAGTCAGCTTACTTTTGTCTCGGGAGGATCAAAGACAAGGGGTGCGAGGTTTAGAGTTAGAGTTCCGAACATACGTTCCGTTATTCTGGATCACGCCTAGGTAAGAACCGGCCGAGCCAAGGTTGACGACGGGGTTGGTTGCGTTACCGCTCGGCGGAAGGCCGGCACCAAACGCGGGCGAGGCCGCGAGCAGCAGCGCGGCCGCGCTGGCAGTCGAGACGAACTGCATGACGGAAGTTTGATTGAGCTTGGTGTTTCGCTTTCCTCTCGAGGTGCAATGCCGTGCCCGAGGTCTCAGCTGTAGATCACATCGGTTTCTTGGCGGGAGAAGACGACGAGGATTTTATAGCCAGAGGCCCGGCAGAGGCCCGGCTGCCCGGCTGCCCGGCTGGAGCCAAGCTGAGGATCGCGGGGGGGGAAACATGGGCATGGCAAGGATGGCAGGAAGAATGTTCAGCAGAAGTCGAGATCAGATGAACTGCCGACATGGGGTAGAGATGAAAGAAGCTCCAAGAGAGATGCGTAGATGCTGTCCAAAATGCGGAGAATGTGGGGATTCTCTGGGGTGCACTTGCGATTTCCCCAGATTGTTTCCCCGCAAGGGGGGTCATTGCTTTTCCCCCGAGACCCTCGCATAATGAGCTACCAGAGTACTGGGCCCCGTGGACCATCGTCAACCGTAACATTTAGCATTCTCCCGCAATGGAGAGTGCCAGCTGCTCTTTTAGGGCTCGTGTGGGCCTGGCTTTCATGTCCTAGCCGAGGGTATATTGTTGCCGAGGGTAATGCACCTTTGACGCAACAACTCTGTCTGGGGATTGTCTGAATCCGAGTTTGTGGTTAGTCGTGCATGACGATTCTGTTAAGCTTCAGGATCATCTCAGGCCATGCCCAGTCCAGCAGGGGTTTTCGTTCTCTGGTACTGGGTAGAGTCTGTGTACGGTTTTGCTACTTACATAATCGATAGTCTCACTATTCACAATCTAGCCTCGCGACTTCTCATACTTGCTTCCAAGGTATCCATCGTGTACGCTACGACGAAATACATTCCCGGATATTTATGTTTACAAAACGTCAAGCAGGATGGTTCATACCATAAACCAAGGCTCCCTCTGTCTCCTAGAGGTCCTTGTACTGTGGTATCTACCTGGTTGACTGGTTCCACTAGTCATGGGGTTCTTTTGTGTGACAAGTGTGTCTATCTTATCAATTGATGAAGTACAATCACTGGGAACGATGAGTTATGTCCTCCAAGAAGAGTCAATGTATGTGTGAAACGGATAACGTGAGCAGCGAGCCAATCAGTCTCGGGGGTGTGAGGGGACGGCCCGGGGCCCACTTTCTACCGGCAGCCGGCTCCGGTCGGGGTGGCCCGGAACCACCGAGCGGGAGGCATTCGCTGGCTCGTCGGGGCAAAACACCTTGGACCCATTTGTAGCCAGCAAGTGCAGCGCTTCATTCTTAAACGCCACGAAGACGAATATCTCCTCGTCATGAGCGAAAGAAGGCGTTTTCGTGGCCCGCCCGTCTGGAGTGAAACTCACCCGGCAAAGCCAAGTCACCTGCCTCACCGCTCCCAGGCTCTCCGCCGTATTTATCAATGCAGTGAATTCGTTTAATCCCATAGTGTTGCTTACACTGCAGGATATAAAGGCTATGCGACATAAATGCTGGAAGAGCGGAGATGTGAGCCGGCGTCCAAGTTGACGGTGCAGCAGTGCTGGCTTGCGATAGTGAGGTTCAATCACAAAAGATCAGCCCATGAGGCGACATATTCGCAGTCGAATCTGCTTCTTCCGATCATTGCCCGTGCAACATCTTCCCGTGCCAAACGTCCCTCCGCTTCCTTCTAGCAAGCTGGAAGCAATCGCCACTCTCGCCGCCGCCGCCGCTGACTCTTGCTCCCTGCCTCCCATCTCAGGTGCACATATCGCAGACACTCTGAGTGAGTTTAAAACGCAGTGAAGTCCTTGCATCGTACCTTGCTTTGACTAGACTGGAATGGAGGACCGGCCAATAGGCCTAATCACTATCCAATCCCAGTATGAAGACGGGGCGTTGGCGGGCTCGCGGGTTGTGAGATGGTTGCATTTTCAAAGGTACTATGTACAAAGGTAGGTGCCGTTTATGCGACTACAGGTCGCTTGAAGCGCCTTTCGGGGGCCGCGAGCCTCGGGTGAGAATTTCGCGAGGAATACTCGTCAGCTTACATGATTTCAAGTGCTTCACGGAACGGTGAACGCCGCAGGCGGTTTTGTTTTCCATCAGTCTTGGTAGTAACTTGATTGAACAATATGCTAAATACATTTTCCTCCTGTGAACGCAGATAGGATATCGCGCGCTTTTCTCCGTACTCTGCTGCTATTATGCTGGACTGGGTGGCTGCCTTCGGCCGTATTCAGCGCGTAATATCGTACTGTTGTGATGTGATCTCATTATGTTGATCGGCCGTTTGTCACTTCATATCCGGGACCTCCATAGCGCAGCTATGTTCATTTCCATCGCCCTATCTTACTAGCTTTGTTTTTTTCTCGAATAGTTGATCTTCTTAGATCTGAAGAGCGCCGAACGTCGCAGCAGAGAGAAGCAGAGCGCCAATTGTAAGTCCAAGCGTGTTCACCCCAGCAGGGACATGCACCCCCGCCGCCGCATTGGCCGACGAAGTAGAACTCGAGCTGCTCCCGCTCCCGCTCGCCGAAGACGAAGCCCCGGACCCGGAACCGCCCGACGCAACGACGCTCGCCTGCGCCGAAACGGGCGGGTCGACGTTGCCCGTCGCCGTGGCGGAGGCGTTCACGTTGCCGTTGTCGCGGCAGAAGACCTCGGTGTAGCCCGCGCCCTGCTCGAAGAGGCAGTCCTGGAGGTCCTTGACGGATTGGTCTAGGGCGAGGCAGTAGAGGCCGCAGTTGTCGTAGTAGGCGACCACGTCTGCGTCGTTGCAGCAGGCGGACATGATGTCTGTGTGGTTTCCGCCGTAGGGCATCGCGCAGACGCGGTCGTGTTCGGGGGTGTCGTAGAGGCTTGCGGTGCAGGTTGAGGTTGTGGTTGCCGAGGGGGCGGAGGCGGTGCCTGTTGATACTGCTGTTGAAGACATGGTTGCGGTTTTGTTTGGGGGTTTGGGAGGTGTTGTGAGGTTGTGGTTGTGGTTGGTATTTGGAGTTGGGTATCGTGATGTTCGTTTTTTTATGCTTCAGTCACTGGTGATGGCGGTTGCGGAGTGAGAAATAGAGAAGTGAAGTAGAATCACTAGAGCGGAGCGAAAGGGGGACGGGAGGTAAGTAAATATGGGTTTTGCTCTTTCTACCAAGTCCTTTAGCGAGTCCAAGAAAATCTCATCCCTTTTTCTTTCTTCTCCGTTTCCCTGCTTTTTTGTCGTGTATTGTTTCCCTGCTCTGGATCCTGATGGGCGCGGTGGCTCCAGTCTGACGTGTGACAACAAACGAAAAAGCTGAAAGCCTTTCTGCGCATCCCGGCAGTGCCCCAGCCGCAAACCTGCAAAGCCTGCAATGCAGGTTTAGTTGTGCATCCACCATGCTCTCTCTCTCTCCCTCTTCCCCGCGGTCGATCCTATTAATATTTGGACCGTTGATTGGGAGACTGGCCCCGTTGTCTAGTGGGAGTCGACCCTCCCCGTAATGGCCCATAATGGCGTGGTTTGAGTCCTGGGAGGAGCCTCCTTCGTGTGGAGAATGGGTAAAAAACGTCGAGGGAAAAAGGGAGAAGGAAACATCGCCTTGGGCCGTTGGTTGGAGGCTCCCCAAGCTACCAAGCCCAAGCTTGCCAGCCCGTGTCGTTACATCCGTCCGACGTGCAGTAGTTTACTAACTGGTAGATTGATGTGCTGGGCTTCCCATTGGCGCCGGATCGGCCGCAGCCACGGGGACTGGCCGCTGCCCGGCAACCGGCAATCGGGGAGAGGTAAGGGAGGCACTAACAATTAGATGGTTGCATCCAATGGACTCGGAACCCGGGAGCCCTGTTGGGTGCTGGTGGTGCTGTGCCACCATCTGTGCCACCATCGGGAATTCTCTTGGTTCGATAACTATCCCACCGGTCCTCAGCGGAGCCCGGGAGGGAGCCGGTGCGGTACCCCGCGTGCACCGAGGTCGCCCGGGCTTTGCGACGGGATGTGTCGAGTTTATTGGGCGACCAATTAGAGGGGTTTGCGATACGAGGGAGGAGTCGTCATCTGAGACCTTGTTTGGGAGCAGACGCGCAGAGATGGGAGAAAGTGAGCCTTGAGAGTTCAGCTGGCTGCGAGGCAAAAGCCGGCGGTGCAGATTGTGGCTTGATGACGAGGGGATGACTGGTGAAGTGTCCCGGCCGAGAGGCGCTGTTGCCTCTTTTCACGTAGACCTTAAGTGCCTTACCTTACCTGTCGTTCTTGGTTGTCGGAGGACTCTTATTTTTTCACTGCGATTCTAATTCACTCGAAGGGTCTTCCACATGCTTGGACGAGGGAGAGCAAGAGTCAGCAGCGATGGTGAGAGTACTCGTAGTGATGGCCTCCCTTGAAACGATGATTTGAGGGCTTTTCAGCACGAGAAGATGCTGCACTGTGGTGAACTAGAGAGGATTCGCCTGTGGATGTTATTCATTCGAAGGGCTTATTTTGGCGATTGAACTTCATCACCGCGAGTCAGACTTCACCACCCACCCGGGCATTGGCAGAGTGATTTTCATTTCCAGAACTTATTCTCAGCTCCTCTTGGCCCCCTGCACTGCATTTTTAACTCACGCAAAGAGCGCGTGACGGGCCAGCCACTACATCCTCTTCATTGCACTGCATTTATAGCGCGTGAGAAGGAGATTATTGTTTCCGTGTCGTCGGAGAAAGGAGGCGAATCGGTGACTGCCGAGGGGAAGCAGGTATTCTGCCCCCGAGTTGCCAGCGGAGGCCTCCCGCTCCGTTACACGATGATCGGAGCCGGCTGCCGGTGGATGTGGGTCTTTGGCACCGCCTGACATCTACTAGGCTCATTGCTATAATAGAAATTGTAGGGGTTGAGTACACGTCAAAGAGCCCTGCAAACCCGAATGACATCTAACAGTACCTCAGAACCGAACAGCGAGCTCCATGCCACAATAATGGAAGGAGGGTAGAGAGCTCTAGAACCTAGCTGCGTTACGATGCGAGTAAAGCAAAGACTGGCGGCTACAGAGCCCGGCATGATGTCAAACTGGTGACCTATTCGGGTACCGGGCCTAAGAAACTGACAAAGTGAACCAAAATTTTGCACGAACATATCTTCAGCCTCGGCGCAACCGCTCCTGAGCGACTGAACATGTCCGCCAAAGTCATCCGCGTACCACAGCCCCTCCGTCATTACCGAAAAAAGGCGTCCAAGGCAATCGTAATGGTGTTGCCAACTCAGCGCAGCTGCATCACACCCGCACTTCACTGCATCTTTAACCCGCCCGAAGGGTTCTCAGAGGGGGTGCTTACTTGGCTCCCTTCTGGGTGCGAATAGGCGGTGTAGTTCACTGCATTCTTAACTCACGCGGAGGGTCTTCAACACCCTTTTCAAATAGGCTGAAGACAAGACGTTAGCGTCGGATCCTGTCCAAAGTTGACCATCTTCTCGAGGCTTTACATATTATGATCACATTTTTTTTTTGTCCAATAAGACGAGTTACTCTACCTATGTGCATGTCGCTGCGGAGACTTGAGTTGCTGCGGCTTGGACCTCATCACCGATGAACAGTCGTGACGGCTTGGCCGCTGATGCTTGCTGATAGATCTTGCATTTGGCTTGCATGCCCCTCCTCAGAAGTGAATAAGAAAACTCCGCCTCAATTAAAAATTATCGTCTACACTGCATTCTTAACTCACGCGAAGGGTCTCGGAACCCTGGGGCATGTAGCCCGTTTGCCCGTTTGCCTGCTTGTCTGCTTGCCTGTTTCGTTCACTTGCCTTGCCAAGAAGAGGGGGACGCGCATGAAGGGGGGAGTTGGGCGGCGACACTTCACTGCATTTTTAACTGCTCCAGAGACTGCGTATTTCCGCCCAAACTCCGACTTCCCGCAGCAGCAGGGAAAAAACGGAAGTGCAGATGCGGGTGTTTCTGCCCGGCTTGCCTGCGGGATGTTTCTCCGCTCGGAGCCGGTGATTGTATCAAGTCCGGATCCGAGGGTCGGTAAAAAGTGGATCGTCCGGCTGCCGGTTCGGCTCTTCAAGTGGCGGTCTTCCTGCTCTCTCTCACCTGAGCATGGCTGTTCCCGCTGACAACATCCTTTTTGAGAAGCAAGAAAACATGGATGCAACTTCAAGATAGCGCAGTAAAACTTCGTTCCTGAAAATTGCTTCTGCTGTGGACTGGAAGTCTCAGACCAATTCAGGCCACCTAAGTAAGGGAGGCCCTCGACTTAACTCGAGGCATTATACGTACCGGAAGAAAATAGCGTAACCGATGAGGTTGGACCAAAAGTATTCAAGGCTAGATATGAGGCGCCTCGATTAATTAGAAGCTTACCTTTTACTCAGGTAGGATTACCAAAGAGGTTAAGGTAGGATGATATAACCAAGGTAACATATCCCACGTCTGGACCCTACTTGGAATCGAGGATCTGAAGGGTCTGAACTATCCGCGCTCTAATTACTGCCTAGATCCGGCCTTACTTAACCAGGTATTCTTGTAAGGTAAGCATACCACCCAAAGCTGCACTTTCAAGTTCCACAACCTTATACACATCAGCGCATATCTCCTACCATGTTACACAAGTCTCCCACGCCAAGTAGCACCATATCACAACCTCAATAACCTAAACCTACAACCAAGACCAAATCACCAACAAACGACGAAACTACCACCCATTACAAAGCCTTCTTTTCACAAACCCATGATGAGGCGGGAACGGGAGACGCGGGTGCTACCGTCCCGTATGGGAGCTGGACCTGGACCAAGCCGCCGCGCCCAGCTTCCGAAGCACCATAAAATCCAACATAGTCGAAACGTTCACCAAGGGGAAAACACTGGTGCAACAAACGGCCAGGATACCCGTGCCATCCCACTGACTCCGAATATCCCCCCGCGGACGTGTCAATAGTCTCCGACTCGGCCAGCAAGAGCCTCAGCAGGTCTCCACCACATTCCCCACAAGAAGTCTACATCACACTAAAGGCGAGGGCACGTTAACGAGGTCTTTTTTGAGCGATGAAGCCGTTGCAATGAATGGCTCATCAATACCAAAATTTCACATTTTTTTCCTAGCTCGGGGGTATTCCTGAAAGATAACAATAGGAGCTCGCGCTCCTGTGCCCATGTATCATTAAATGAAAATCACAAAAAAAGAATATCCCGCAAAAGTTTGACCCGGCCGTAGAACGCCTTGCTCGGTGACCGTGGCTTTTTTTGTCAGTGTATGCAGCCCAAATCAAAGATCAAAGTAATTACTCCGTCGCTCGTAACCGGTGAAAGCAGTACTTCAGAGGCAACTGGTTATACCAAGCTCGAGGTCTTGCCTGCCATGCTCGCCTTCGTCTAATTTTGATTTCGTAACATGTTGATAATTATATTCGTGGAGAAGTCGGAGTGGAATGGGGTCGACTGGGTTGAGCACAGATTCGGCAGTGCGCCGATAGGTGTCCCCGAATAAACCGTTCATCCCACAAAGTTCAGCCCGTCGAGTCGACGATGATGACTCTCTAGATCGGATCTACGGATCTAGTTCTCTGCAGCAGCGTTTATGAAACCGCAGTGCTGAAACTGAACGCCATCGAGCCCTACGAGGAACGGGGAGTCTCAGGCGTATCGAATCCTCCATCCCCTCCCTCCGCCACAGCGTCGAGACTCAAAGGGTTGAGACAGCCGCACGAGAGAATGTGGCGTACAAAGGGGGGAGGAGAGGTGGCGTTCAACGGATTTCTTTTTAGGGTTTCCCACTCAGCGACAGATCTAGCGATTGGGTGATGTGTGGCGTCCCTTAGTCGTCATCCAAGCTTCGCCCGCCGCATCACCCGCTCGGTTCGGTCTGAGCGTGGTCGGGGTCCACCTTGGCCAGACGATGTGCCTCGGCTGTATGGTTTCGATAGGGTAGTGCGCTTGATTTGTAACCCCTCTTTCAGGTGTCCTTTGGCCATGATCCAATCTTGGCGATTGTTGTCGGCAGGGTGGGATCCTCGTCGCAATTCGTGCCGTCCCATATCTTTGTGCTAAATTCTTGCGTAGCCCAAGGGGCTTGAATGTTTGGCAATGCCAGTGATTTCTGAGCCGCCGAGAGACCCTTGATGGATGAATCGTCCTCAAAGTTGGTGATATCGAAAGAGTCGTCGAGGGTAAGCTGGCTCGCCTGGCTCGTACTCGGTTGGTGGCCTTGATTAGGAGGGACCCTTTCGATTTCGACGACTACCTCCCGCGTTCTGTAAATCGCCATCTTGGGCTGTCCGTCTGCATCGGTAGCGTTCGCGGCACCTATCGAAGGTCTCCTACTGCTTGGCCCGGAGCTGACGGCAGCGACGTTGACACCTCGCAGTGCGGGTACCTTTGGCTTCGTAACGTTGTTGAGTTCGATGGGATTCGGAGGCTGGCTGCTGATCGTAGCATCGATTCCGCCAACGGGGCGGCCTCTCGCGTAAGTAGGTAACTGCAAGCTGTATTCGGATGGCTGGTACGAGTCTCGGTTGTTGCCATTGAAGTCGGCAGCAGATAGAATGCCGAGATCGCGTTTCCGAGCAACCTTTCCAATCAGCTCGGCCATCGACATCTCGATCTTGAGCTTGACCATGTATGCCAAGGGGTGAAATTGCATATAACTAAAGAGCAACGTTAGCATGCTGTGCACACTTACCCGAAACCCCATCGCCATGTCCACAACGAGAGTTCGGATTGAATGCAAGACCACCTACACAAATGTGTTGTTGAGGCTCATCATCGCAATGATAAGCACGTCCATGCTCAAAGAAAACCCGATGATGAACATGTTGAACTGCGTCAGTCGCTTGTACTTAGTCAGGCCGTGGGTAACCAAGTTCTTCTGTACGATGCGGACGAAATAAATGTTGAGCGCGCCATCGACGATCAGGTAAATGACCTTTTCGCAGCGATCCCACCACTCGTTGATTTCGATATATCTCTCTGATATCTGTAACCGAGCCGGCACCCAAATGTTGTAGACGGAAATGTTGATGGCGGTAATCAGTACGGCGACGCCCACTTTGAGTCGCCATGCCCGCTTCTGGTTGGTAAGAAGAATGGCGCATCGATTAATGATGATTTGGAGGAGAAATTGAACCTGGAGAGCCCAAGTGGTCACTGTGGTGGTCAGTGGATGGCCCAGCAAACCAGATCGTACAAAGTGACTTACAGATGCAAAAGTAGAACGCGAAGCTGATCATGTCGGCAGTAAGTATCAAATCGACAACATCTTGAAGTAGTACTGGTGACTTACCTTGGCGGTATGATGCCTTTGAGATGCAGCCAACATATAATGCTGAAGATGGTACACACGAGGATCTCCAGCCAGATCATCCAGATGTAAGAGTTCCGGTAGATACGATCGCCTTGCCGCCTGTACATGGCGGTGGTCTGCTTGATCGCCGTCCATACTGTGAGCCACCCGAAGCCGAGAGTGAAGCCCCAGGCCAGAGATGCAATGACCATGTCATCTTCGGAGACCTCTTCGAGCTTGAAGTGCGGGGAGAGGAGGGTCATCATGATTGACCAGCCTGAACATCATAGCAGCGAGGCTGAGACATTAACAGATATTATTCCGTATTTTGCTTCATGGTCGGAAGAGATGGGTGTTAGTGGAGAGTTGAGATGAGAAGGGAAAGGAACTGACAAAAGGGATTAAACAACAGAACTTACCGAAAGCATGGTCAACAAAGAGTGGTTCCACGACGTCATGCACAATTGGAAGTGAAAAATCGGAAAATGTCTAGCAGGGTCCCGATCTGGCTTTTCAAAAAGTTGGGCTCGTTCGTGGCCGGTTCAAGAACGGAGAGCGGACGAGCACAGGAGGGGGGCTGAGAGTTAGAATGCGCAGAGGGCTGGTGTTTTTGAGGCGAGCCCTTTAGGCTAGCAGCAAACACTCAGAGTAGCGTTGCGATCGGACCCAAGACGTCGTGTTTCATGGGCGAGTCAGGGAACGGTACACACACAACGGTACGGATGGCGTCGCCTTCAACGAGCCAACACACACTAGCACTAGAACGTTTTTTCACTGCAGCATGGAAGAAAACCAGCCTTCTGCCGCAGGTAACCCACGCTGGAAGCAAACGGCGGCTTCATCCTTCCAAGGCGAAGCCCAGTCGGGGTAAGCGTTAACGCGAGAGAAGAAACCATGCAGCCCCGGCCATTCCGATGGGAGATGAGGATCAGAAGTAACGTTCGCTAGTGGGTGCTATTTTCCCCCCTAATCGCGAAAACGCAAAGCATGTGAGCAAAATGGTCATCCTTCCAAGGGCAATTCCAGTCTCCTGCTGAAAGAAGATGGTCCTTGCTGGCTGACAACGTGGAGGGAGTAGCCAAAACTCTGCTGATGGTGCCAGTGGATAGCAAAGCCAAATATTGAACGACATGGAATGCGAGAGCGGCAGAAGATCGGCCATGGAAGCGGTGAGGGACATGTCTGCAGCTGTTTAAGGCGCTGATCCCTGGCGAGGTGTCATTGGGACATGACTTGGTCGTCGGCATTAGGGCGGGCGACTAAACCCCAAAAGAGACTTTCGTGGCTGCGAAGCTGAGGGATGAGAGGCCCAACGAAGGGAGGGAGTGGGCAGAAAGAAGAAAGCTTGGCATCTGATCTTCGCTGCGAATTCTGCGCTTGGGGACTGTCTTCTCGTCAGCGTAGAAACGTACATGGACGAATCGAACACGAGATGCTGCTGTTGGCTCCGGGATTACCCAAGCCGGTCTTTTTCTCTATTTCAAAAGTCCGTACGGATAGTTAAAAAAGAAGTATGGTGAGCACGTGGCTCGTGCATCTGGAGTCAAGAAGCTGCTCGGATTAGCCCTGGGCTGGCGGAGGTGGCCGACAACCTCCTGTATCTTGAGGACAAAGCAGAGTTTCTTGATGCTTCGCGTGAAACTCCCACCCAAGATTGGCAACGTATGCTTCTCAGGAGTTAATCTGGTTCTGCAAGAAGACGGCGGGAATGCCGCGGACGCCGTGTAACCATCTCGAGGTTTCCTCATCAAACCCCGTAAAACCTCCTGGACGAGCCGTAGTAGCGGTGCCGGATGTTGCACTCCGGGCATTGGAAATTGTCCAAGTAAGGGCCATTTCATATTAACAAGACTTCGTATTCCCTCAGGCTTCGGGATACATGGATGTGCTTGTCGGAAGTGACTGTGAAGGTTTCGACCCAAATCTAGCCCATGGAACGTGCGCCGACTATCGTCTTGGTAATTGGAAGATGGAATCCGCGGCTGCTTGGGGTTTGAAGAGATGGAAAGCTTCCAGTGCATTTGCCGTCCTCCTGGCTCCGGTTACGCATAACAGCTATCGGATATTGGAGGTTTCGGGCAGTTATCTTGGAGCACGTCGCCCCCATCCTTGACGTGAGGTCATATTGGTGTGGCAGGTCGGCTTTTCGTTGGAAGGATTTAAACGCGCGTTCTGGGAACGTTCCATCAAAAAGACGGGATGCATGGATTAGCGAGCCGGCGCGGATCTCATCTCCTTCCTTCTTTTTCTTTTGAGCGTGGAGATTCGGTGGAGTTCGGTATCTCGCAGCGTTGCAGTAAGGCGCAAATACGGTGTTGGCGAAAGACACATGTCTCTGCATACAATCGCATGCTGCAGTCATACCGAAAGCTGTCGGCATAATTAGCCCCCCTGCCAAAAGTCCATGTCCGTAGAGTACTCGAGTCATCGTTTTGCGGGGCATCCGAAGGTTAGTGGCATGCAAAAGACAGGCAGCACACCGGAGCCTGAACATCACGTAATGGTTTGTGATGTCGTTGTGAGTTTAGGTTGCACCGAGGCTATGGTTCCTTTCCCGCAATATGTTCGGCTAGAGGCTGATTGACAAGAAAGAAAGCTGCGGCATTGAGCCCCTGAGGAGCGGGCCGTCCGCAAATCTTCTCGAAGCCGGGTTTCACGATGGGGCTAGTTCTCCCATCTTGGCTCCAATGGCTCCAAGATTAGCTCGAGGTCCCAACGCATGGAGATGACATCTTTCTCGGCCGTTGGCCGCATCAGCCTAGCGGAGAGACCGGCAGCGATGTCGGCAGCAATAGCGGTAGGGGTTGTCGTGCATACGCGGGGGAACCACCACTTCATGAATCAAGTCGTGATGATTTCTTTTTGACGGACAGCACATGTGCGACACATGTGCAAAAGGGCGGGTATCGATTTGAGATAGGCCCAATCACCTGGCCGGTAATAGAAAACATCTTTTCCCGCCGTCTTCGGGGCCGATTAATCGAACGCCAATCCGTCAACCCGGCAGCCGGTTAGCTTTTCGGCGAATTACAAGAAGCTTCTTGTTGACGTTCCGGTGGCATAGTCCTGGACGCGTGGGAATAAGAAGGAGTAAGCAGATGTTGGCGAGTCATTGGGCTCAGTCTAGCCGCCTGCGAGCCTTCAAGTGGTATGGCGAGATGGGACGGACAGAACGACAACACAGAAGGTTTTCCAAGCGTCCCCACCATTATCGAATGGTGCACCGAGAGCCGAGAGGTTTGGTCGTAAGACGCGAATGAGGTAACCTTCGGGGAAAACTCCGGCGTCTGTCAACTGCCGTATGGCGAGGAGCCCGGATCTGTCATCTACGTTTCGAGTATGCATGTCGGCAGCATCTACCACAATTAGTTAGTAATCTTCGGGCCGCGGGCAACTAGACAGTTTCAGTAACGGGCTTTGAATCTGAAGGTTCGACGACGTCCCATCCGAGGCCTTCGCTCGCCGTCTCCAGGAAATCGGTTGTCATCCAATGTAGTGGTCCAAGTCATCTAACAAGAGATAGTGGCAATTCGAGAGCAAGTGTATACGTGCGCAGCAAAGCAGTGAAGTTGGAATATCGGATCTGCGATGTGATGTGCAGTGGGATGGATGGAGTGGAACGGTGGGAGGCTGTGGAGTCGTGGAGGAAGATCCCAGCAGGTGGAGAATGGCATCTGTGCCCACTGCCCGCTGCCCGGGGAAGAGCTTGATGCCCACAACAACAACATCATCCTCCCATTTCACGTGACAACCTCTCAGAGGTGTGGTAGGTCCATACCATGGGCATTATTCACAGTCAATTACAAGCTCCAGCTTTATCGACTAACATTAAGCTCTTGTATTACTATGGTGTCATTCCGTTTACATGTACAAGCACGCCAAAGATATCTATGTACCGGACCCCAGTTTCGCTCTCGAAATCAACTGCAAATGCCATAACCGGGTTGGCATCCAGCACCACAGTAGAGATCCGAATTACCACACCATCCATTCTTGCTGCAGCATTGGTAGTCACCGTTGCCTCGGCAAGTAGCTATTCCTGCACCACACGCACCGTCTCTTGCGACCGGCAGCCCTGAGCTCCCACCGCTGCCTGAGCTACCGCCAGAACTACCGCCGGAGCTGCCACCAGAGCTACCTCCTGAACTACCTCCTGAACTACCTCCCGAGCTGCCTCCGGAACTGCTTCCCGCGCTGCATGTACCGAAGCCCGGCTGGCAACCCGTTCCGCAGTAAGCACTTGTTGTCCCGCAGTATCCATATGCACTGCAGCAGTATCCGGCACCGCAAGATCCAATACCGGAACCGCAAGAACCAGGCTCGCCGGGATTGGGTTGTGTCGGTGTTGTCGATGTCGTCGGTTGGCTAGAAGATGCTGTTGTTGTTGATGGTGCCTACTTGTTTGTCAGCGGGGTGATACTCTGTCTGTAATTCGTTCACCTACTTGGCAGCTCGCGAGTCGCGTGTCTGCTGCAGCTCCCTGCAGCCAGATCTTCATGGTAGCCTGGAAAGATTTGCCGTTATAGGGATTGCTGTCACCGCGAGTTGCCTCCCAAACAGCCACGCCTCCGAACGATGGCCGGCAGTAGTACGCGCTAATGAGATTATTTGCTTGCTGATGGGTGATATAGTTCCCAGCATTGGCAGCATCTGAGGAACCAGGTAGGGTGATGAACACCTTGGCGTCTCTGCTTGGGGTGTTCGACAGCCATTGAACCCAGGCATCGAACGTGAACCCGGCTTGCTGATATGTTGAACCAGGGGTGTAGGATGGGTTGCTAGCCGCCCAAGTCGCAGCTGAGCAACTAGGGGTGTTGTAAAATTGGACAAAGATCATGTCGAACTTAGCGGCGGAGATCATGGCAGCCATATTGGCATCTGGAACGACGCATTGAGGAGCACCAGTCAGGTAATATTGCTTCGAAGCTGTTGCGTAGAATGTACGCAGAAGGGTCACCAGGGCAATGTAGCCTTCCGAGTTGTCTACAGGTAGCTAAGCATCAGCTGCCACTCATGTGATGCATCGACCAGGGAACAGCAAAGATGTTGACAAACCTGTGGATGGATGCTCTATATCCATATCGAATCCGTCAACCTCAACCGCTTGTCCGTTGTAATCGAATGGACGAGGCCCTGTCCAGTTGGGATCTTTCGGTCCGAACATGTACCACAAGTAAGTTGCCAGGAGTTCACCCTCGTTTCTGCCTGTGAGCTGGTATGATACCACGCCACCTCCGAGCGACAGCAAGATCTTCTTGCCATACTGCTGCTGGCACACTGGAATCTGAGCATTGAGACTAGGGCAGTTTGACTGCAACTGATCTTTTGAAGGGTCGAGGACGCCGTTGAAGCCAGGGCCCGGGTAAACTTGGCCGCCGCATCGATTACCAAAATTGGTTCCAGGGTAACCGTTTGCCTGGGCTGGGAAAAGATGCACGAACGAGAGGACAATTACATCGATCTCGGGCTGCTGGCATTGGTTGATCAGGTCGCCCTGATTCGGACCTTGCCCCTGCCACATTGTCAGTCCCAGAGTCGCGAAGATGATTTGAAAACGAGTCTTCTTACGTAGTAGACAACAACATTGTTTTTCGACGTTGGGTCGAAAGCTGCAGAACACCATGAGACTACTATGCTCAACAAGACGAACAAACTGAACAGCGCCATTATAGCAAAGTGGTCTATGGGCAATCAAGAACAGACAAGTGAAAGAAAGAGACAGAAGAGGACGAGAAAATTCCGACGGCCAATACTGGCTTGAACGCAGGCGTCGTCGTGATACTGGAGGCAATGCGGACTTCAGTAACGATGACGTCGGCGCTCAGGTTTAGGAAACTGGGAAGGCGAGTGCACTTGCTGGCTGCTTCTCCATGATGAACGCATTTGAAGGATAGTTCTTTCTCTAAATAACATCTGGAAAGTAGAGGGACAATCGCACCTCCCGCAATCTACATCTTCCATCTTCCAAGAGCCAGGAGCGAACCCCTCCATCACGGCTCCTCCTTCTCTCCTGCGGTCCTGCCGTGGGCGGAAAGTGTCCAGAAAAGAAATGCGGCGGAAATAGTCCTCCCTCCCCGCTGGGCGTTATTGCGATGCAGAATTCCGCGACAGAGTCCGATGGCGTCGCCAATCCAACTTTCCCCGTCACGTTCCCTTTTTTCTGCAAGGGCGACCGTTACCCCTTGACTCATCCTGCCACTCAAGCCGATAAAGGGCAAGATCGCGTGAAGAGGGGGTTGGGGCCATCCTCTACGCGACGCGTCAGAAATGTGCGGAATCTACTGAATTGACTATTGAGGTTGATTTCAGCGTCATTTTGAATGGTTCGAGGACGAGCAATCCTTTGCTTCGTGTAACCCCGCGATTGAGCCTTTCCGGACGGCCGAAGCGTTCGGTGCTTTCGGTGGGGCCGTGCCGCCGAGACCGCCGAATGCCCCACCGAAACCGCCGACCGAGACCAGCAGACTCCGTTCGCACACTTGTTGCTGCCTGCCTTTGTCACAACTCAAAAGAACCTCGAATCATGATAGTTTCAGCTTAGACACCATCGACTTAAGAACGACAAATATTGAATATGGACCTCCCTCAGACAATGCGCTCTCTCGTCGCGCCGAAGCACTGCAGCCCCGTCGGCTGGGAAGTAGCTGAAGTGCCGGTGCCAATCATTACCAACCCCACGGACGTGATAATTCGAGTAAAGGCTGGAGCTGTTATGAAGGGCGACTGCCAGAGATCTCGGGGTTCTCCGATCGTTGCGCTACACAAAGAAAGGTACGTTGAGCACTGGGCCCATGGGCCAAACTTCATCCGTAGGGCTAACAACTCGTTGTCTTCAGTTTTCCCATCAAGATTGGCTGCGAAGGCTCCGGGATCGTCGCAGCTGTCGGCGCGGACGTCAAAACTCTCAAAGTAGGCGACGCAGTCTACGGGCTGTGCTTCACGCGGCCAGCCTTCAGCATCCCCGACCCAGGCTTCTGCTCCGAGTACGCCGTTGGGCCGGAGAGACTTTTCCTGCCCAAGCCGCCACATATGAGCTTCGAAGAGGCCGCCTCACTTCTGGGCTATACCGTCACGGCGTACCAGACCATTAGACGCGGGCTCGCCATCGCAGGACAGGAAACGCTGGAAGGCAAGACCGTCTTCATTCCCGGAGCCCTGAGCGGTGGGGGTTTCAGCGCGATCCAAGTTGCCAAGAATGTCTTTGGCGCCAGGAAGATTATTTCCACGGTTTCGACTCCTAAGATGAGCCTCGTTGAGCAGTATCTTCCGGGCATGGTTGATGAACTGATTGATTACACCATTACAGACGTCGGCTCTGTGGTACCCAAAGGAAGCGTGGACTTCATGTTCAACACGCAGTGGAATACTATGGGTCCCGGAATACCTCTTCTCAACCCCAACACAGGCATACTCATGTCTATCGCATCTATTCCCCCGCCAGCCTTGACGAAAGAGCTCCTGGGGCCCACAATGGTTCCCTTCTGGGTTGTCTGGGTGTTGAACTTGGCCCAGCTTTGGTACTCATTCTTGTTACGCGGCACGAACATCAAGCATGAATTCGTGTCTGGCAATCCCGAGATCAGGGAGGACTTGGAGAAGGCCGGGGAGCTTATCGCTACTGGCAAGGTCAAGGGCGTCTTTCGAGTAGTGGACCTGGCGGACTTGAAGTCGGTGAGGGAAGAGTGTGAGAAGGTGAACAGTGGCAAGGGAGGGATCGGGAGATGCATAATAAGGGTCGAGTCTTGAAGCACCCTCCAATGTGAAGCTTACGACAAACTTTCCCACTATTATCATGCACATAATTTAATGCAGATGTACAAAGAAATCGACGTCTCATGGCACTATGTTTCTCAGCACTGCTGGTTAACACGATTTATTTGATTGCGCCTCAATAGACCCATATCTCATACTCGGAATCAAAGGCCGTCGACAGAATGAGAAACTTTCATTGGCTTGGTATCGAAGGATTCGCGTACGTAATCGTGTCGCATCCCTCGATTTGGCCCAGGTGGCGCCCATCAGCAGTCAGACTGATCCAACGTCCATTCAACTTACATGACGGCGGTGAATAGTTTGAGAGATTCACAACACGACCCTTCGCCGTTGCAGTCATGTCAAAAGACCAATCCCTCCAACTCCCAGATGGCCGCACCCTCAGCTACACCACATTCGGCACCACCCCACAACCGAACCAACCAACAATCTTCCACTTCCATGGCCTCCCAGGCTCGCACCACGAAGGCCAACCCGTCCATGAAGAAGCCACCAAACGCAACATCTGCGTCGTCGCCGTAACGCGCCCGGGCTACGGCGGCTCAACCTTTCAACCCAACCGCACAATCCTCTCATTCCCGCAAGATGTCCTTCACCTAGCAGACCACCTCAAAGTCCAGCGCTTCGCCGTACTTGGAGTCTCTGGCGGTGCTCCGTACGCTCTGGCGTGCCTCCACTCGATTCCATCACCACGGCTCTCCGGTGTGGCTATCGTCTCCGGGATGTTTCCATCGGAGCTGGGCCTGAGCGGCATGATGCTCATGAACCGCCTGCTCTTCAACATTGCGCCGTGGTCCCCAGGTCTGATTGAGGCCATCGCCGACTGGCAAGTCAGGAGTCTTGCTCGGAATTCTGAGCACCCGGAGAGGCTCGCCCAAGCGACGGCTGATGCCTTCAAGAGTCGTCCGGTTGAGGATCGGGAGGCACTGTACGCCGATGATGGCAAGGTCTTGCGGGTGTTAGAGCAGAGCACGCGCGAGGCATTTCGTGAGAGTAGTCGTGGGTTTGCGTGGGAAGCGAAACTATTTGGGAGTCCTTGGGGGTTCGAGCTGAAGGATTTGGCTGTACAGGAAGGGAAGTTGGTTATCTGGCATGCGGGCAAGGATGTCAACGTCCCATTAAGGATGGCTCAGGATGCGGCGGGACTGATTCCAGGTGCGGAACTCAGAGTCGTTCAAGAAGAGGCGCACATCAGTTTAATTTCACGTCGGATTGGGGAGGTAGTCGACAAACTTGCAGAGATGTTAACGTCCTAACTATTTGATGTAGGTAGATTCAACAAGGCATCACGCCAATAGTCCAAGAGTGTAGCTTGTCAAAAGCCTTTCGGGGCGACATGAAGAATATTCGTTGCCCCATGGACGCACTGTGTTCTCTATTTTCGATTTGAGAACGCCGACTTGCAGAATGATACGATGCGTGCATGCAATGCCTGCAATCCATGCCAAATGAGTCGACCATCCGGTTGGTTTGCTTCCTAGAAAACGACAACGCCGGGTACGAGACCCGCTGCTGCGGCGTTGACGAACATCTGGTTCGTTCTCTAACTCCGGATAAAAGCGAGGCAGTGGGTCTTGGAAAGCGAGAACTGATTTCGGACGTGATATTTCATGCATAGACCGGCGACTTGCACCAACACCGGATAGTTCCCCGGACCTTACCGCTGGCAACATGGACCCCTCTTTGCTCAGATTGACGACTTAAGATACCTTGACCTCTCACCTGTATCCAAAGGGCCCGACTCACAGCCTCACTGTTCCTATTCGTTGCTAGTTTCGGAAGAAGACACTAAACTCCTAGAATGACAGCTTCAACTCCCACTTCTCCTTCGCCAGTTTTGGCTCCCAGGTCGAACTCATCTTCGCCAAGAAGGAACGAAGTTTCCGGAAATGACCATGTCGCTGCGCAAACCGAAAACAACCAGATCGAAGTTGACGATACGGCTAGTGTTCGTGAAGCCTCTCAGTAACGATGGATGAGTGAAGATGTTGCTCACATGCACGACAGCTCAACGAGACAGTATCATCCATTGACGATCGGATGCAAGTTTCTGCCTTTCACGATTCATTTCTATGCATGTATGCTGACTGCCATTTCCAGTTCGACTTACACAGCGTCTCTATCATCTAGTGTGGTGGACTATCCTACCGAGAACGGTCGGCGTTACCACGCGTTTCGAGCGGGCAGTACGTGACAGTCACTCGTTTCGTTTAGAATTTATCCCAGTAGCTGACAGCAAAACAGCGTACCTTGGACCTAACGACGAAGTAAGAAGAAATCTGTAATTGTTCAAGAAGTGCCGCGAACCGACTAACACGATCCCAACCGTATAGAGCGAGATGGACAGACTAGACTTGAATCACATGTTGATCATGAAGACAATTGGTCGAAAACTCTTTCTGGCCCCGATTCCGCCTCAGAGTATCCATAGAATACTTGACATCGGCACCGGCACGGGAATCTGTATGTCTTGATGATCAGCAGCGCGCTACCCGTATTATGCTGATTCGATTTCTAGGGGCTATCGAAGCAGCAGATGTGTTTCAAAACGCAGAGGTATTCAAGCGAGAAACACAATGCCGAACGGTTGTCACTTATCGCCTGTTTCTGACCATGCTTATAGATTCTGGGAATCGATCTGAGTGCAATCCAACCTTCATGGTATGAGCGATAATTGAAGGCGATACTCTAGGCAGAGACGTGTTTCACTAACAACTTGAGAACCAGGGTGCCGCCCAATGTGAAATTTGAGATTGACGACGTTGAGAGTCCTTGGGTCAACGAACACAAATTCGACTTCATCTTCTGTCGTTACATGGCGGGCTCCATCGCAGACTGGGAAAAGCTTATTAAGAACACCTTTGAGTACGTTTCTTCGCGACATAACATCTCCTGCCGCTAATCAGATGCACACATGCAGCAACTTGGCGCCCGGAGGCTGGGTCGAATTCCAGGACTACGACATTTCCATCGTCTCGGATGACGGCACGTTGACCGAAAAGCACCACACTTCGAAGTGGATGAGTCTGCTCATCGAAGCATGTGTCAGTGTTGGGCGTGATCCTCGCCCTGGACCCAATATTGAAGGTTGGGTCAAAGACGTTGGGTTTGTCGATGTGGTCCATCAGAGATTCAAGATGCCTATCGGGCCTTGGCCAAAGGACCCGCACCACAAGGATGTCGGTATGACGAACTTGATCCAGCTTCTGGATGGACTGGAAGGCTTCAGTCTGCGGGCCTTCTGCGGCATACTTGGCTGGACGAAGGAGGAAGTCTTGGTGCTTCTTGCTCAAGTGCGCACTGAGCTGAAGTCTGGGAGTTTTCATGCTCGTAGTGCAATGTGAGTCAAATCCATCACTCACGAGGTGAACACGCAAAGTGCATTCACTAACTTCTTTCCAGTCATGTGGTCTACGCACAAAAGCCGGAGGATAAAACGGAGGACTAATGCGAGAGGGGAAGTCGTGTTAGAGATGGGTGATCTTGTCAATTTGATCTGGCGACGTGAATCGAGAACCCTTTTAAATTTGACCATCTCGCACCAAGCCACTCTACATCTTGTGGAAAGGTCTCCCGTACTGCAAATCACATGCACTCTTCCCATGTGCCACGATGTGGCTCAAGTGCGGGTAGAGAAATGGGGCCATCTAGCAATCGCGCGATCGAACTCAGAATGCGGGTGAACTAGCGTCTGCCCAGGGCGATTCCGGGTGAGACATCACATCTGCTAGCGGGAGCTCGAGGTATGGTGCTCATTTATAGGTACCGGAAGGAACCGATGAAGATCCCGCTCCGGCAAACTAGGCCCGATGCGTCTTCAAGCCCGCTCCCGTTCGATCCATCCGGGCTGATTCTCCAAGCCATCGACGCCCTGGTTGCTATTTGACGAGAGTCTCGCCCCAGACACCTCACCGAAACCGAACGATGGTGGCCGGAATCAAGCGAGACTGTCAGCCTGGGAGAGGAGGCTCTTTGAACAGCCACGCCGCCGAGATGAACCCTCTTGCAGCCATGTCTCGTGGGCATTCTTGTCTGGAATGCGTGGTTCTCGTTGCTAGAGTGCAACGGGTAGATGGTTTTAATGGAAGACCCCCTCTCGAACCTGTCTGTTGGTGCTACTCTTTCCTTGAAAGTGTTTTTTCAGGTGTCACAAAAACCGTCAGGGACGCGCCATATTTGATTTCTTGGCGTCCACCAGAGATCAACTTCGAAATTGCTTATCAGAGCCGCGGCCGTTGATTGACATCATGCGGACAACCTTGGTGGCTCTTCTTGTCAGGGTGACAACGATCTTCGCCCAACAGCTAACTTTACCCGATGTTCCGGGCCTTTCACTCGACGATAACCCTCCATGCGCTGTAAGAAGACTGGAAGCACCTCATCGATGACTAGGTACGGCGGTGTTAACATGAAGTCAAGCTGCCTTGCCTCTTGACAGGCCTCAACCAAACGAACTGCCCCACGAATGACCAAACATGTCTGTGTCAGGACGACGACTTCATCAAATTTGTGGAAGGATGTGTTGTTATGAGCTGTCCGCTCAAGTACGCCATCAGTAGGTTGTGGTCTATCCTCACTTGGAAGTTATTTGTCTGATGTCTACTTCAGTCACGCAAAACATCACATGGACCGCATGCGACTTCCCTCTGCACAACGAGGTACCAGCGACGAAAGTAGTTCGGATCGTTCTGTTTGCGATGCTTCCAACACTCGCCATAATCCTTCGGCTAATAACGAAGTTTGCTCGGTTATCACCATGGGGTTGGGATGACTACACTATTATTGTGGCATACGTAGGTCGCTGATCAGTTCGGAAAGGCCTGAACAAGACACTAATATGATCTTTGAAGATTATACTTGTGGCGTATGTGTCATTGCACGTCTTTCGTAAGCCACCGAGGTATTCTTGTCTTCGAAAATGCGCTGACATTATTGAACAGTCGAGGATAACGGTGCCGGGAGAGATCTATGGACTCTCAGTGACACAGAAATCACCCATTTCTTCAAGGTATTCAACGCCTGCCGCTTCTCCGCGGACGTCATATCGTCTGTACGACTTGCATCTGGGGCTATTGTTGCTAACATCAAATCTTACAGGGCTTCTATGCACTACAAACATTATATCATTCCTGCATCGACATCATCAAGGCATCGATTCTCTTCATGTACCTTCGAATTTTTCATCTGCCTGGTGAAAAGATCACCATTGCGTTGTGGGTCACGCAGGTCCTCAACCTCATGAACGGCATCATCTTCATCTTCGTTGGCCTGTTCCAGTGCAATCCCGTGAGTCTTGCATGGACGTTCTGGACAGGGGATGCGACTGGAAAGTGTTTAAACATTGTGTATCTCGCGCTGGCACACGCAGGGATCAACATTGCGCTGGACGTTTGGATGCTCATTCTACCCCTGACACAAGTTTGGGGCATGAATCTGGCTCGCCGCAAGAAGTTTGCGATCATGTTCATGTTCAGTCTCGGTCTGTTGTGAGTATCTTTATATCCATCTCATGAAGCACCGCAGGTTACTGACGCATTCGGTTCAGTCTCACAGTTGTAAGCTGCATCCGAATCAAGGCAATCTTGGATTTTAGAAAAGATCCGCTCAACCCTACCGGTAAGCTCCTGACTGTTTCGCTCCACACGATGAAGCTTGAGTACTGATGCATTTCACTCCATCGCAGTGGCCATGATGCCGAGCGTCATTTGGACGGACCTTGAGCTTTACGTTGGAATTTTCACAGCTTGCATACCGACTCTTCGTCAATTCTTTGTTCGGTTCATCCTTCGACAGTCAGAAAAGAAGAAGCGCTTGAGTTCGGCTGCGGCTGAGTATAGAGGCTCAATGCTCACGCCCAAGAAGGGCGGGTCACAGCAAATGAGCGAGCTCGACACCATAGATGAGAGCAGCCACCATAATTCTCCATAAAATCATAATAAGAGAGTGAGATTGTAGGACTTACCCCGTCCGTAGGTATAATAATAAAGTGCATGCTCAATGTTGGCATATGTAGATATCAAATATTCAAGGTTACTACTCACAGTTGAAGAAGCTGAGCCGCCTTTTCCTGTCTGGTGGCTATCTTAGTCCTGTGGAGTGTTCCTTCGTGGAATCTGATCACCTTGATTGACCATAACCTGAATCTTGTCTCTTATATATTGTCGCCGCATGAGTATTTTTCGAAGGATAGAAAAAGTGAAAGAAAAAGTGGCCACCTCTCGAAATTTATTCGTCACATCGTGAGCTCCTGCATCAGGGAGTAAGGTAGCTTCGTCAAACTACCTTGAGACAAATACTGAGCCTTATCGGTACTATACATGGAAGAATAATGACTGCTACTATTGTCAGCTCTTTAACTAACCGACCTTGACTTTCAAAATTGGGTCTTGCGTCATCCCGTTCATCTACTTGCTATTGTTTTCCTAAATCATGAAAGTGATGATGCCTTGCGTGAGGTAGTATCTCCTTGGTATCGATGGAGCCAAAGACTTATATTCAATCGTACAGGAGACATAAATAGTTTCAACACAGGCTTGCTCTCGATATGCGTGTTTGCCTTTGAAACTGTGCCTCTGCCAACCCTCCCGTTGTCCGGACAGCAGGATCCAACAGTAGTTTGCCCATTTGGCTCCAACATGTGCAACAAATTTGGCATAGGGAAATGACACCACAGAACCTACCAACAGCTCGAGAACCCCACATCCCCGGTCTCAGAGCGGAATTCTGAAATGAGGCTAAGCTCTCCCCCCCTTTTCCCCCTTCGTCAATGACCATCTACTTCAGGTATAGCTCCTTCGTTGCACCCTCCATGTAGCATTCTGAGCTGACGACCATCGTCTACTCTCATCTCATCATCTTTCATCTCAACCACCAGCTGAAACTCTTTCCTTCACAATCATGGCTCAATCTTCTTCCGACTCCTCTCAAGCAGAATACTCTCACGAGGCCACTGTGGCTGCCATCGCATCTTACTATGAACTTCTCGCCCGCGTACACCCTGACAGTGTCTCTTCTCTCGAGTACCCTCCCCCCGAAGGATGGCCTCAGATCACGCCCGAGTCCTTCTCCATCTTGGGCAGGAATGATACCGTCATTGAGTTGATGCGGCACATTCCGTATTTCACAAGCGATCGGATAAGCTTCATGAAATCAACTACACCGCGTAACTTCGCAGACGCATCTTTCTGCAGAAGGATCCATGAAGAAAGCCGCGTGTATAATGAGGAAGTGTGGCCTGTCCCTCAGGACAAGATTGGTGCCAATCCTGGCTACTCTCCCGAGGGCGGAGAAGTGCCGATCCCAACCAGCATGTTCACCTTGGCGGTGCTAGCCGAAGAGAAAGAAGAGGGCTATGACATCCTGCTCGATACGGAACACAATATCGTCATTGTGGTCAGAGTTGGAGAGGAATTTCCACACGGGTGGCCACCAGTCCCTCCCGGTGCCAACCATATCAACTGGGGCGAAGACGACAAATGTGAGGTGGAAGGAGAGAAAGAATAGGAGAATAACGGGGAGGATAGTGAAGACAGTGAGGAGGACGTCGACTTATATCTACTCGGTCATGATTGGAGATATTCGCCGACCTATCGCATCGATACATTCTTCAAAATGTGTCAAGAGCAGTGGAGGGTTGTGAACTGGATACCAAAAATGGAATGGGCTGGTCAGATTGAGGAGAGGTACCGGTCCGCAGAAACAAAGCTTGACGAGACATACGGTGATGGTCTCAGGCAGAAGATCATGCGGGAAGCTGGCTGGCCCGGTGCAGGGGAGGAAGTTGGCTTGGGATGGGACAAGGCAAAGGCCGAGAAACAGATGATTGAGCTCATGTAGATTTTCAATGGTGGCAGTTCCTACTCTTTGATCGGTAAGATATCTGTGTGATTCAGCATTATTTCGGCACTGGTTGTATTTGTTCTAGCTACCGTTTGAAACTGGCGGATCGGGACCGCTGACCAGGCTCCGGGCCGGACGTGGCGCGTGCACCCGCGAGACGGAGCGAGCATCCGCAACGGCAGGTGAACACAGCTTCCGTTGCGATGAAAGCATCCATACATCACAGGATTTGGTATTCTGCCCCCGTCAGGTATCTTACCTCATGAATACATTTGCTGCTCTGATATGGTGTGTGAAGCCTCTGGGGACTGAATTTACTGTCGTATTCGCTAAAAGTACTAGCATGAATGCATCGTTGCTGAGTCCACTGCCTTATCGCTGAAGTCCTTAGGTAAGCCCAGATCACTTAAAGTCCAGCGGGGCCATCACGTACATAACGCGCCTCAACCATCAAAAGACGCGTCGCGCCTGGCACTCAAAAGCATCATTCCATCTCCCATACTCAACTTGTCACAGGCAAATAAAGATCTTCCATTCAATCTGATCCCCGTCGGCCCGTACCAGCCTTTTCCGACTCTGATACAAATACAACATCATCAATTCGATCATTCTGCCCCGGTTATCTCACGCAGCACCCAAATTACCCCCCTATATTTCCAAGAATCCTACCTAGATCTCCAGACAAAGATGGCTCTCAAGCGCAAGCGCTCCGAATCCGAACTCGTCACCCTCTTCCCCTCGCCAGCTCGATCCGAATCCAGCATCGAGTCCTTCGAGTCACCAATCTCTCCAAGCCCCATCTATCCTCGCGCGCATGCGACGCCATCGCACCTCTCGAGTCGCACAATGAAGCGCTTCCGCGACAACAGGCCCTCGGAGGAGCAAATCCATCGTAAGTCTGATCCATGGCGTCAATCAAGAAGGACAACATAGCTGACAGCATACCTCAGAACGTACTCTGAACATGCTTTACTCCGCGCAGCAACACAACCAGTACCCGACCGACGCAGACCACGAGACGAATCAGTCCGAACCCACACCCGTTCCTGCCGCCCGCAACACCCAGAAGTCCCTTCACAGCTTCTGGAATATCAAATCAGCCGAGCCCAGGTGCCCCGCCTCGGCCCCGTCTGTGGACCAGAGCGCGCTGTCGCCGATGAGCTGCGACGACTGCGGCGCTGGTCTCGGTGCCTCGGATGGCGCTGCGGACGGGATGGATATCGACGAAGGCTACAGCTACGGCGTTGATCACTCTTGCGGTGCGTGCGGCAGGCACATTTGCTCGCATTGCTCCGTTACAAACCTCGGCGAGCAGCGGCGATGCTTGAGATGTGTTGGAGTTGCAGCTGGGGCAGCACGAAACAGCTCTGGATGGCCATCATCGTCGATGTCTATCTTCTAAGTATCCTAGCCGGGCCGCTTCTGGTCATCATTCTTTTCGGTGGCGCATTGGGTTATACACGTTAACGGCATGCCACGCCATGGCAGTCTGCCGTGTATGGTTATGGGAAAAGGCGTTTCTGGCTTGCTGTGACATGATTCTCTGGTATTGGAGTTGGGGTAATCGTTCAGGAGATACCATAGGATATCGTGCAGTACAATTCAATTTAAATTTGCGCCTTCTCTAAATAATCTGCCCATAATTAGCCGCGCGAGCAACTGGCGAAGCTACGTACTGCGTCTGGGACACCATGCATGTTTGGGACCGCGCCTCTGCAGGGGATACCAAATAGGAGTGGCACTTTGGCAGCGTGATCGAATTCGACCAGCACAAACTTTCTCGGGCATCCAATCATTGTACTATTCAGGTGGAAACGAGGTCGCTCAGTCCAATGATATCGCAGTGGAAGGCCAGAAAACTCGGCCAAGGCGTGCGGCTAGGTGCAGCCGCCTGCAGACGACGTTCAGAACCAACAGACATTGGCACCAGCCTATCGCAACAACTTTTGCCGCAGAGATCCGTTCTTTCCCCTCTTTCCTAGGAATCCCTAGAAAGCGGCCTAAGCTTGCAATGTTTCAACACGAGTGACGGACGTTTGCTACTCAACTTCGTGAAGAAGCCAAGAGACAGAGCCGTACTCTAGCGCCCAAGGCGCCTCCGTCACTCATTTTCAGTTTATACCAACACAAGATGGCCGAAGCAATCGGTCTCGCGACAAGCGTGATCGCCGTCGCCGAAGTCACTGGCAAGGCCATAGGCCTCACTCTCAAAATCAAATCGCTCTGGCGTGAAGTCAAGAACGTCCCAGCCGTTCTTCTCGAAAAGGCCGAAGAGCTCCAGGATCTCGACGACTATCTCAAAGATGCCGAAAGTCAGACTGCGAGCAGTCCTGTGTCCAAGTCGGTCATCGACGATGAGATTATGCAGAAGTCGCTCAGGAGAGCCCGCGCGGCATTGGCAGACATACAGAACACCATCGATGACCTCAGTCTCCAGATGTCTGATCCGCGGAAGCATCGACGCAAATTGACTGCTGCAAAATTTTTCTTACAGAAAGATACAATAGAAGACATGGAACGAAAGCTCGATCGAGCTTTGGAGCTTTTCAAGGTGGCTCAAGGAATCTATTGCACGTAAGTCAAATACTTGAGTACTAAACTCTTCCTAGAGCTTAGCTGATCTGAGATGAGCAGAAAACTAACTATGCTTTCCACGTCCATCATCATGCAACGGCTCCCGAATTGTTTGAGTCCTTCGGAAGTCACGGAGAAATCATCCCAAAGAGTCGAGGTGGCAGAATTCTTTGACCAACACAGACCAGTTGTTGCCAATATAGCTGGCAAGGACAACCTTGATATGTCTCAAGGCACAACCGCGATTGGAAGGTTTCGTCTTGGGTTTGGAGACGACGCCTTCCAGATTTCACTCAGATCACCCAGTTGGCTCGGCAGCAAGGTTTATTACGCCATGTGCCACAAGAGCATACTTGGGTGGCAAATCAATCTTAGAACTTATGTAGTGATCGAGGATTTCTTCAGCTTTGAAGACGCCGTGAAGTCCGATGATCCACAGGCTCTCATGAAACATTTACGATCAAGATCGCTAACACCATTTGTTCAAAACGAGTACGGGGAAAGCTTATTAAACGTACGTGAACCCATCTACCAGCTCGACGAGATAAGAGCAATTGGCACTGATCCGATGTAGGCTTTGCGCCCAAAACCGATGGGTCAACATTGCGAAATGGCTTCTCACCTTTGGGCTGTACGCTGGTTCCTACAGCGGTGACTTCAAGGAGCTCAGGTTCATCATCCTCAAAGTCCATGATTTTATTGGCACTTCAATGCTAATTCATTACAGAAACTCATATTCAAGACATCTCATTTTCAACGCTGCCAATCAATGGTCTCATCCTCCAACTGCCCGCTCAGATTCTCCATCCGACTTGGCTCTCCTTTTCGCCTCTCACGCGCAGAATGGAGACACTGGTATATCAGTTGACTTTATGGCCTTCATAGCAGGCCTTGCAAACTTTGAAAATTTCAGCAGATTGCTTCATTCCAAGACTCCAGTGTCAGATCCAAAATGGTTTTCTTTTGGCGCCAGAGTTTCATTTGCATATTCTGGAATCCTTGGCTCTATCTGGACCTTGGAACAAACATCTTCCGTGCTTCCGGAACTCGGAAGCCTCACTAGAGAGCTCCTAATGTCCTGGCGACTCGGAAGACAAGACCCAGTGGTGATAGCCTTGGCAGCAGTGGGAATCGGGACTTTGTCTGCTCGAGCACCCCGAGGCGATCCCGCCCAGTCGGAATCCGTCACTGAATATGCGCGACTAGCCGACCAAATCATTGCAATGGATCCTGAGAGTCTCATAAAAGCTACCAAAGACAAGAGGAGAAACAGTCCGATGCACATGTTCATGTGGTATATGCTTGCCAACATGCAGCCTTGCTCGGCAGATCAAGCAGACAAAATCATACAATCGGCTTTACTTGTCTGGGTGACGACACTATACCGCAACAAGGTGGATCTTATAGATCATGGCCGTCAGTCGCAAATGACCTATAGCGTGCGAAGGCGTTGTGTGCTTCCTGGATGGACGTTTCGGATGGTTCAGTATCGCACCGAGCCACGTAAGCGTCATCAGAAACGTGAACGATATTATCGGGCTGAATACGTCGGCATCACTTACGGTTCCTTGCCGGAACATTGGAAGATATGGTGGGCGGTTGAATACGAATGTTATGCGGGTGATTTTTGGAGAATGCTCGAGGATTCTGCCATCCAAATTCCAGGTAGCTGGGTGGATGATAGAGTTTTTGACGATGAGGAGTTGTTGCCATCGTGGGTACTCGAAGAAAATCGCCCGTTGATATGGTCTGAATATCGCAAGATCAGGCCACCGGTATAAGAGTATATTCTTCTTAGAAGCGGTCTTTGCCAACCCACCTCTATTTCGTAGGACATTCACTAGAGCTTACATTTCACGACCTCACGACATACAAGAGTTACGTTACCAAAGACACCGACCTTCTCGCAACAGAGTACCAATTCTCTGATCATGCAAGGGAACCAAAGCCACTATGCGTTGTAGACTATGATGTCTACTGATCAGTACTACGTGGATGTGTTAGCAGGGAGCAGATGGAGATACTCTGCTGAGGCGTTAGTTTCGCCTCAAGACTGTCTCTTGAGAACCCAGATGCAGTGCTTAGCACGACACTGGGGGCGAGAGATCCGAGCTCCTACACATTTCAAGCATGGACCACTCTTAAAACCAATAGTCTCTTCTTTCTTGATAGCTCTCATCATAGCCCCTTCTATCTTCTTATGCGCTCTATGAGTTGGAGTATAAGCATAAAGTCAAACGTGTCAAAGACAAAATCGACGCCAATTAGAGGCAGATTTGTAAAGAAGGGGAAATAGACTACAGTTAGCTTATCACAAATATCCTTATGAAAAGTCGTGAGGCTCAGCCACGGTAATGAGTTGCCTTGTGTCTACCCGTGCAAACGCCAGTCAGCTCCAGACAGGATGAGAGGGTGTTGAGGGCGAAGCGATCGAATCAAATGATGGAAAATCCAGACGCAACCACATGCATGGCGCACTATGCTGGACCAATGAGCCCAGCACCGCCTCATGACACTGAGGTTCATAAGGCTACGGACTCCGCCCTCCATCTCTCGTCTGACCTTACTCCTCTTTTCTCTTGAAATCTTACTGATCTTGGCAAAGACCCAAAGCAGTCATCTTCTTCTCTGTCCCTTGTCACCTGCGGTTTACCCTCTCGGCGCCCAACTCCTCGGTAACCTCTGGTTCTTGATCAGTAAAAGCGGAAATCAACACTTGACCAAATCGGCCCTTTTCTACCTTTTCAGGATGGCGGAAGCTCTAGGCTTGGCCGCCAGCGTCATTGCCGTGGTCGACGTAACCGCCAAAGTCGGGAGCGCCACGTTCAAGCTCATGAAACTGTGGAACGAGGTAAAGGAAGTGCCAACGATGCTCTTGCAGAAAGCAGAACGCATCAGAGACCTGGAAGACTTCTTGCTCGACGCCGAAGACCACATCCAAAATAGCCCGCTGCCGCAAGCCTTCTGGAAAACGAATCACCGCTTGCAGCAACACATCGAAAAGGTCCGCCGCGCACTTGATGAGGTTCAACAAGTGGTAGACGATCTACAAGCCAAGTCGACTGCCCGAAAAGACGGCTTCAGAAGCAAGCTGTTGTCAACCAGGGTAGTGTTCCGAAAAGATGAATTGAGGGCCTTGGACAGGAAGCTTGACACGGCTCTCAGTCTTTTTTCCATCGCACAGATGCAGTGGATTATGTGAGTTACTGCCTTACATACTTCTCTTTTAGGTTCGGCTTTGTAACTAGATATATTCTAGGGCGATGTCGGCATTTAGAACCTCAATGACCATCGAAGAGCGGTCTGTAAGACCAGCTGCTTCGAACGCGCCGACAGTAGAAAAGAAGACAAAGAGAGTGCTGGCATCAAACACGCCCGCTCTCTTCTACATCTCTACCCCGGCTTCGTTCTTGCCTACCTTTCGATTTGGGTTCGGAGACAACGACAACTTCCAACTTTCTATTCAGGCACCAAGCTGGCTCACTGGGTCTGTGTACTCATTCATGGCCCAGAAAAGCTATCAGGGCTGGCAACTCAACCTGAGAGCTTACGAAGTAGTAGGCCACTTCAGTGAAGAATTACTTGACTGCATCGGCAATGACGACTCCTCGGGAACTCTCCAAGTACTTTCCAAATACAACATGACTCCCTTCGTAAAAGATAAATTTGGAAAAAGCCTGCTACATGTGAGAAAGTTCGCTCTCGCAATGTTTTGAGATTATGTTACTGATAAGGCTGAGTCAACCGCAGATTGCAGTCGTAAATAAATCTCTGGGAGTAGTCAAAGCTTTTTTGGAAAGAGGACTTGCATGTTTCGTGCGAGACCCGTGGGATAATTCGTTTTACAATAGGTGATAGTTTCGTTTCTCCAGCTGTGAAACAGAGAAGACCTTGTTAACGTTTTTGACAATGTATAGTTGTCCCTTCTTGCTTCACGAGCTTACTTGGCTGAACCAGCCATCTCGACATCATGACTTAGAACCTACTCTGCTGAACTTGTTTCTAGATAACTTCTTTGACGATTACCTCGACGATCCGGAACAAGTTTCGATTCTCCTTGCATACGGCATCAGCTTATCTTCCCTTCAATTGCTTTTGAGACGTAATAACCTCATCAGCACTTCGTTTTCCTTTCTCACACGGCTGTCTCACTTCAGACTAGTTGCAGCCAACTGCATCTGGGAGGCGTGGGAAGTTTGTATCATACTTCCGGAAGCGCGATACCTCCACGTACACCCCGGACCGCTTGCATACTCCAGAAACATCGAGGGATCCGCCCTTTTCCATTCATTCGCCATAGGGATGGCTGGCAACTTTTCAAGAAAGACCCACCACCCAGTCCTTGACCAGTGGGCCATATCAAGACAGTGGTGGAACAGATTACTCCATGACTGTATTAGACTGGATCGTCCAAGTCTACATCACATCGATAGCACTTTGGGTTGGTCAGGATATAAGTCCAGGAGGAGCTCACCCTTGCTTGCAATCATCGGATCATTAATCGATTCAGACCGCTCGAATCTAAGGAAAGCGGAACAAGTTAGCAAATCACTGGTAGCAACACTTTCCGAGTGGGTTGCGATACTCTCCTCCAGCGATGTGGTCCTTCTGGATTACGGACGTCAGGAAGGGTATATGTACAAGCAAGGCCTAACGGCTGTGTTTCAACGATGGGCTCCTTGGGATTGGGAAAGTACTGGCACAACTCGATTCTCTCTCATAGGTATCACCTACGGTTCCTATCCGAAACACTGGATGCTTTGGTGGACATATGAGTACGAAGACTACGCAGGAGAGTTCTGGAACATGATCCAAGACAAGGCAAGCAGAGTGCCTGGTGCTTGGGTGGAGGATTCATGGGACCCAGACGACTACGAAGTTGAGGAGTTGATTAGGCGGGAAGAATGGGAAAACGAGCAGCCCACTCCGTTGATCTGGTCCGAGTATCGCAGAGTTCGGCCGCCAGCCTGAGTTGGTACCCGAATCAATGATAAGGTTGTCAGACACGCAGCTGGCCCCTTCTGCAGTCATCACTGTTCATGTAACTTTGAGGTTTCCCTTACAATGCGTTTTACCCATCATGATCCGGCCATCACGAAAGTCTCTCCAATTGCAGCGATGGGATCCAGTGCGCAAGCCAAGAGGTGGTGTACCTATGTTAGGTAGAAAATAAAGGGTCTCAGCGAGTGACCGTCGATTGAATCTCGCCCCGATACATGCATCACAAAGCTTGGACGCTAAGATCGGAGTGCTATGTTTGGAAAAACCGCGCGCGGTATGCAATTAGAAGGAAGATTTCTTTATCGAGAGCCCCTAAATCCCAAGCTTCCGAACGAGTTGAGGACAGTGTTTCTCAATTTGTTGACCAGGACCAGGTTGAGCTCTGTTGACTTTCCATTGCAGCTGTGATTGTTGCTTTTCCAGCCATTTCCAGATTTTCCCGAATCATTTCTGCGTCGAACCAGTCTAGTAAGGCCAAATTTGGAGACAATTTAGCGTCACGTGCAGCTTGTCGGCCTGACGATCGCACCTTCCTTGTTTAGTACCTCACCTCAGGTACCTTCCCTGAGCTAAGCTCACTGCCAAATCTTGGAATCGACTTTCTCGCTTCTCACATTGTCTCATAGAACAAACTCACAACACCATCCGCTCGCTCACGTCTCTTCCCTCCTTTCTCGATACCCACCGAACTGTACCGGCCATCCGTCATCCAATTCCGCTCATTTTTTTTCCTCTTTGCCCCTGGATTGAACTTGCAGATCCAGGCCACCAGACTCCTCTACCTCAGCTTCTCTCTATCCCTCTGACGGAATACATTCACAATGCTCGGCTGGTGAGCTTTGCCAACAAATTTCTTAATATCTCAAGAATTGCATCGCTAAACACTTCATCTCTAGGTATCAGGCAAGACTCGCGGCTCGTCCGCTGCTCACGCAGAGCATCACCACCGCCATCCTCTTCGCGACCGGTGACATCACCGCCCAGCAGCTCGTCGATAAGCGCGGCCTCGAGAAGCACGAATGGGCCCGCACAGGCCGCATGGCCCTCTACGGCGGTGGTAAGCTCCACCTCACCTCACCTGCACTCAGAGAACTCACACGCAACGACGCCTTCATGGCCGACCTGAGCTCTGACCGATGAGTTCAATCTCACTAACCAAATGCTTCTAGTCATCTTCGGCCCAGTCGCCACAACCTGGTTCAAGTTCCTGCAGAACAACATTGTCCTCAAGAACAAGAATGCCGAGATGCTCGCTCGCGTCGCCGTCGACCAGGGTGTTTTCGCCCCCGTCATGATCAGCGTCTTCCTCTCCTCCATGGCTACGCTTGAGGGTGGCTCGATCAAGGAAAAGCTCGACAAGAACTACAAGACGGCGCTCACGTCCAACTACATGCTCTGGCCGTTCGTCCAGGTGGTGAACTTCAAGTTCGTGCCGCTTCACCACCGCGTGCTCTTTGTCAACGTCATCAGCATCGGCTGGAACTCGTACCTCAGTTTCTTGAACAGCCAATAGATGGCTATTGGGGACTGGGTAGTAAGATGAGCTTGAGGTGATTACCGCCAATCGAGGGAAGCCGTCTCAAGGATGACTCGGGGGAACGAGGACTCGCTGTGATTCCAGCGTCGTTTAGCGATTTACGGCTTCAGATTTTGAGCATTAGAAGCAGGATAGACGTGATTGAAGTGAGCAAAAGATGGTCATGGGCATGGCCGGTGGGAATATACTACACCATTCTCCTTATTGTATCTGTGCCTAAAGAGTTGCTTCAAAGCAATGTGATGATAAGCCTGCCGGCCATTGAGGAATCTGAAGCATTTACCAGTTCAGGCTCATCAAAGTACTGCGCGTCCTAGCATGAGGAGAATACAAAGTCATATCAGTCTTACAGATACATGGAAAGCCAAAAGGAAGTCACAGTGGTTCAAAGGAGGCCCAGGATCACCAGGCTAGAACCCGCCAATGAGCGAAAGATGTGGGGAAGGTGAGAAGCCTCAAGTCTCCTACGCCGTACTTTATACTCTTTCATCCTTTTAAGTACTCATGTACACCGGCAATCAGATTTTTGACTGGATCTCTTTGCATGGCAACCAAGTGGAAACATTTAGCTCATAGTTCCGCGGTTGCTATCTCTCATGGCACCACTCGCAGCAATAGATAACTGAGCTACTGCCGTCCCCTCATTCTCCCCACCCTCAACCGGGATCCTTCGGCGACGGAGTCGGCCGCTGCAACGTTGCAAGTCGACCTGGTGCCGAACGGCTGAAAAGCACCTGAAAGGATTGCTAGGAAGCAACAAAACTGATCAACATCTTCTTGAGCCACGGGATTCGAGACAATTTCACCAGCTCGAAAAGACTCGCTCAGAGACACTCACGCAAAGATGACCGCCTCCAGCCTGCTCGATCGCCTCAACCGAGACGGCTTCGTCGTGATCCCGTCCATCCTCACCGAAGACCAACTCAAAGACCTCCGGAGCGCGACTCGAAACGCCACAGAGCTCGCCCGCGCCGGAAAATGGCCGAACGTGCGGACGCTGCCCAAGCAGTTCCCGCCGTGGCCGGTCGCCACCCCGGAAGCGCCCCCGGACGGCATCTGGGGCGTCCAGGGGATGATGCACCCCGACATGCCCAATAACGCCGCCTTCATCAAAACGTACTTTTCGGATGCTGTGATTGAGCCGACGAAACAGCTGCTGCAGTGCAGCGACGACGATCTGGTCATGGAGCTTTTCAATTTGCTCATACGGCCTGATGAGGACTTTGAACTACGCTGGCACAGAGATGATATTCCTGCGACTGCTACCGCGGAGGAGGAGCTCGATCGGCTCAATAAGCCGGCCTATTCGGCGCAGTGGAACCTGGCTCTCTACGATGATAACAGTCTCATCGTCGTCCCAGGCTCGCATACCAGAGCCAGGACAGACATTGAGCGCAACGCTGATCCTTATGAGAAGGAGATCCCTGAGCAACTATACGTGGAACTCAAGGCAGGCGATATTGTCTTTTACAACAACAATATCCTGCACCGCGGGGCATACGTCGCGAATAAGGAACGCATGACACTGCATGGGAGTGCGGGACATGTCAACGGGAGCACACTCCGAGCCCGCAATGTATTGCAACACGGGCTCAAGGGCTGGGTGGATAAGGTCGATCTGGGCGTGTTGGATGAGAAGGAGAGGGCGAGGGCTGAGAACATGCGGAGAATGCTGGTTAAGCTGGGCCAGGAAGCGGGGGAAGTGGGATATTCTCTCGAGGGGTAGTGAGATAAGGCCGTTATGGATCTTCTTACCAAAGATAATTAAATGCATGCGCGAGTTTACTTCCAAGGACAAGAAGTCTTGGGTGATTTTGTTCTGGACCAGTCGAGCGGTGTGTAACACCTGGGCGGTGAATTGGGTGAGCCTGCCCGGACTCTGCCCGGGTCATGTGTGGTGGGCGCTTAGCTGTGTGTACCCGTGACGGGGCGGAGTAAATCAAACAGGAATTCCATCTCGATGGTAATTAAAAGGCGCTACCGGCGTTATATCGCGCTGAGGCACTGATCAACGTCATTTCTCAAAAAGAATAACAATAAGCCAACTGACACTTCCTGTACTGAAAGGTTGTTTCATCTCAAGTTTCCGTCTTCCATCTCGAATCGAAAGGTCTGGGGAAGGAGTGCCAGTGGTCTGTGCACAATCGGATGCCTAAGTAACAAGGTGTCTGTGGAACCCGTGAGCTTTTCCCGTCCTGCGGCCAAATCCGGGTTTGCCAACCATCAACCGACTCTGTCGGCAACATCTGCGTCAGCCTCAACCACCTCCAAAACCACCCCTCCTCCTCCTCGAACCCGTCCAGATCAAAAACCCCTAAAGGTCTGCACCCGGCGACAATGTTGCCCTCATCGGTGCGGCGCGTGGTCGCTTCGGCGCCGCAGTCCCCCCTCGTCGCCTCCCTCACCACCTCCGCTCCGAGAGCGGCTACGGCCACCATCACCCTTCAGCAGAGACCCGTCGGTGGCCACCAGAGACGATGGTCCTCCTCGAGCCCCTCGAACCCGAATAACAACGGATCCAAGGACATTCCTGCCCAGGGCCAGTCCGTCCATGCCTCGACATCATCGAGCTCCAGCAGCAGCGGCAAGGCCAACGGCGAGAAGCGGAAACGAAAGAGCAAGGACAGCGCCGATAGGGAGGCTGCGCAGAAGCTGCCCAGCGTGCCCAGCACACAACATCTTTCCCAAGAAGGTGTGTAGCTATGAGAAGTCTGGACGATGTGGAAGAAGTGCTAACAAACTCATGCGCAGCTCTCGGCTTATCAACCTTTTTCTCGCTGCACCGGCCGATATCTGTGACCCACAGCATGCCCAAGTCCGTGACGGAAGAAGCCTTCGCCGCCATCTTCAAGCCCCGGAGCAGGGCGAACAAGGTCACCGATGTCATCTCAACACTATCGCGGACGACCGACGACCTCGAGGGCGCCATGGCCAAGATGACCATCGGCCACCAGGAGACGGATGCGTCAGGCGAGCCCGTCCAAAAGATCGACTTCAAGAACCCCGACGGCACCGAGTCGAGCGTCTACGTCCAGCTCAACAGCATGGCCGGCCAGTTCGTCCCCTTCCGCCCTCCCCCGGCCCCCGAGGCCATGGGCGAGACCGCCGCCGACGCCGCGACGTCCCACGCCGCCACCGCCGCCGAGTCCGCCGTCGAGGACCTCCTCGACGAGACCCCCCACCACCGCGTCTACAAGGCCATGTTCACCATCGAGGAGACGACCGACGCCGACGGCCAGGTCCAGGTCCTCGCCCACAGCCCCAAGATCATGCAGGACGGCGGCGACGCGCCCCGCTCGTTCCTCGAGCGCATGGCCCTGCGCCAGATGAAGTTTGACGAGGCGCAAGGCCACGATACCATGCACGCCCTCAGCGTCAAGCGCCAACGCAAGCTCAAGATGAAGAAGAAGAAGTACAAGAAGCTGATGAAGCGCACGCGCAACCTGCGCCGCAAGCTGGACAGAATCTAAGCTCGGATTTGGGGGGGTTCGGTTGTTTGGTTTTTGTATATAAAACAAGCAAAGCCCCGTCGGTCTCTTATTTTCTCACATCCTTGTGTTTTTCTCTCCTTTGGACTCGGCTTCCTCCCACTCGAGCATATCTGGGAAAGACGCGGGTGTTTTTTTTCTCCTCATAATTGGTGTTCTCGGCCGGGGCATTCATCGCTGATGGTATTTCATCTCCTTTTCGCGACTGTGCACACATTTCTCGGGCTTCATATAGAGAAGAGAGGGGACAGCTTTGCATCAGATAGCAATCATCCAACTGTTTGCGTCCAGAGCCATCACTCATGACCGTGCCGCAATACTGAGAGCGAGAGAGACGTAAGAACCAGGGACGCTAGAAATAGGAAGATGGAAAAAACGGAGACGGAGAGATATCATGTACAACAAAAAAGTGTATTACTAGTTCCATCAAACGGAAATATCTCAAGGCCTTGAGACTTCCCTTGAAAAATCGTCTTACCATACCTATTCTACAGTATTCGTACACCAACTCAATTCCTCTAAGTACCTTTTTATCGAAGAAAGTTAATTCTTTCTGAGTCACAAGTACAAGAATACAGTTTTAATAAAACAGTATAGTGCCCACCCAGCACTTGAATCGAGATGCTTTTTCAAGCTTGCCATGAGAGAAAGATGACTGTACTGCTGACTGCCTACCATCGAGGTTCGCAACTGGCGCTGTGGCTTCAACCGTGATGGCTTCGCCCGCGATGAGCGAAAAGTCTGATTATGATAACTCAATTCCTCGGTGACTGCCACCACATTGATTTTTAGAGATCGTCCGAGGGGGGTGTGGCGTTCTCAGCCAGGGGGCGTGACCATAACGAAAAAGTTGCGGCACCCCACCAAGACAGCACCCACCTCGAAAGCCCACCGCCCGGCAGAAAATGTTCTCTCCGCCAAATTTTTGGGAATTTCCTCGACGTCTAAGAGCTGGTTTGCGCCGACCCGACTTCTTAGCAAGCCCGCTTCCTAGCCAATTTTCCGCCTTTACTCCCCCTCGTCCCTCCTCCCCTGCGAGCTCTGTTCAAGATGTCGCGCAAGGCAGTGTGAGTCCTCGTTACGATATTAGTACTTATATATGTTCAATTGCTGACTTTTACCAAATACAGAGACCAGCGGATCCCGAGTCTCATCCACAATGGGTACCAAGAGAAGAAGCGCAGCTTCTTCGTGGTGGTCGGTGACCACTCCAAGGATGTCATTGTCAACCTCCACTACTTGATGGCTAGAAACATCAAGCAGAACAAGTCCGTCTTGTGGGCGTACAAGACCAAGCTCTTAGGCTTCACGAGGTATGTCGAATCGCGGGAGGAGGCAGGTCACTTACACAGCAGTATCATGAAGAAGCTCACATTTCTTTCCCGGAAACCAGTCACCGAAAGAAGCGCGAGAACAAGATCAAGAAGGAAATCAAGCGCGGCACCCGCGAAGCCAACGACTCCGACCCCTTCGAGCTCTTCGTGTCCCTCCACAACATCCGCTACGTCTACTACAAGGAGACGGAAAAGGTCCTCGGACAAACGTTCGGCATGTGCATCCTCCAAGACTTTGAGGCCATGACGCCAAACATCCTCGCGAGGACGATCGAGACGGTCGAGGGCGGCGGCCTGGTGGTCCTCCTGCTCAAGGGCATGTCCTCGCTGAAGCAGCTCTACACAATGTCCATGGACATCCACTCGCGCTACCGCACCGAGGCGCACGACGACGTCGTCGCCCGCTTCAACGAGCGCTTCATCCTATCTCTGGGCGGCTGCGACTCGTGCCTCGTCATCGATGATGAGATGAACGTCCTGCCCATCTCGGGCGGCAAGGGCGTCGTGAAGCTTCCGCCCACCGACAAGGACCTCAACAAGACCGAGGCCGAGCAGGAGCTCGAGGACATGAAGGAGTCGTTGCAAGATACCCAACCAGTCGGCTCCCTGGTTACCCTCGCCAAGACGACCGACCAGGCCAAGGCGCTGCTGACGTTTGTCGACGCCATTGCCGAGAAGACGCTGCGGAGCACCGTGACGTTGACGGCTGCCAGAGGTCGCGGAAAGTCGGCGGCCATGGGTGTCGCCGTTGCGGCTGCTGTCGCGCACGGGTACAGCAATATCTTCATCACATCTCCGTCCCCGGAGAACTTGAAGACGCTGTTCGAGTTCGTCTTCAAGGGTTTTGATGCGCTCGGATACGCCGATCACGCCGACTACTCCATCATTCAGTCCACGAACCCCGACTTCAACAAGGCTATTGTCAGAGTCAACATCCACCGGGCGCATCGCCAGACAATTCAGTACATCAGACCTCAGGATGCCCACGTTCTCGGACAGGCGGAGTTGGTCGTCATCGATGAGGCTGCCGCTATTCCCCTGCCTTTGGTGCGCAAGCTCATGGGCCCTTACCTGGTCTTCATGGCCTCCACGATCAACGGTTACGAGGGTACCGGTCGCTCGCTGTCGCTGAAGTTGATCAAGCAGCTCAGAGAGCAGTCAAGACCTGGAGCCAAGACCGGTGAGGACACAGAGGTTGCCGACAGGACGACGGGCAGAGCCTCCAAGGATCAGGGCTCGAGCCAATCCAGCCGGTCCCTCCGCGAGATCACCCTGTCTGAGCCCATCAGATACGCCCAAGGCGACTCGGTCGAGAAGTGGCTGAACAAGCTTCTCTGCCTGGATGCCACCCTCCCCAAGGCCAAGGCCAGTGCTCAGGGGTGCCCCGACCCTTCGCAGTGCGAGCTGCTCAAGGTCAACAGAGATACCCTCTTCTCCTTCCACCCCATCCCTGAGAAGTTCTTGCAGCAGATGGTCGCCCTCTACGTCGCCAGTCACTACAAGAACTCTCCCGATGATCTCCAGCTGATGAGTGACGCCCCTGCACACGAGCTCTACGTCCTCATCGCCCCGACATCAGACGGCAAGCTGCCCGAGCCCCTGTGTGTGATCCAGGTCGCACTGGAAGGAAAGATTAGCAGACAAAGCGTCATCAACCAGTTGAGCAGAGGACAGCGCCCCTCTGGTGATCTGATTCCCTGGCTCGTGAGCCAGCAGTACCAGGACGACGAGTTCGCCTCCCTCTCCGGCGCCCGCGTCGTGAGGATAGCGACGAACCCGGAGTACGTGTCCATGGGATACGGCACCAAGGCCCTGCAGCTCCTGACCGACTTTTACGAGCAAAAGTTCACCAACCTGTCCGAAGACGCCGACCTCGCTATGGAGGAGACCCTGCCTAGAGTTACGGACGCAGAGCTGTCAAATACCTCCTTGCTCGCGGACGACGTCCACATCAGAGATATCAAGAAGCTGCCGCCGCTGTTTGCGAGATTCTCCGAGATTAGGCCCGCCGCCCTGGACTATGTCGGTGTCAGCTACGGCTTGACGCAGCCACTCCACAAGTTCTGGAAGCGCGCCTCCTTTGCGCCCGTCTACCTGCGGCAGACGGCCAACGACCTGACGGGCGAGCACACTTGTGTCATGATCCGGCCTCTGGAGAACACCGGCGCCGACCGGTCATGGCTCGGTGCCTTCTCCCGAGACTTCCAGCGTCGCTTCCAATCTCTGCTGTCGTACCAGTTCAGGGAGTTCCAGTCGGTCGTTGCGCTGAGCATCGACGAGTCTGCCAGCATCGGCGCCAAGCTCGACGGCACTGAACCCACGGCCCTGACAAAGGTGGAGCTCGACAGATTCCTGACGCCATTCGACTTGAAGCGTCTCGAGTCGTACGCCAACAACATGCTGGACTACCACGTCATCCTCGATCTCGTGCCCACGCTCGCTGGCCTCTACTTCACCGGCAAGCTCAAGGGCGACATCAAGTTGACTGGTGTCCAGCAGGCCATCCTGCTCGCCATCGGTCTGCAAAGGAAGGATATGGACGTCATTTCAACTGAGCTGTCCCTGCCGTCGTCGCAGCTGCTGGCCATGTTTATCAAGATCCTCCGCAAGATCACAACGCACTTTGGATCCCTGGTCAACGCCGCCGTCGAGGCTGAGCTGCCTAGTAATAACACCATTGGTGTCAGCCGGGAGAACGCTTCTGGCGTACACGACGATGAGGTTGTCGACAAGAAGTTCGTTCCCCTCGAGACATCTCTCGAGGATGAGCTTGAGGAGGGAGGCGATGAGGCTCTTGCTAAGCTTCGCAGGAAGCAGCGCGAGCTCATCGACTCCCTGCCGCTTGACCAGTAAGGCCCCTTTTCTTCATTGCATAGCTTTGAGAGCACTATACTGACTATAATACCTAGGTATGAGGTTGACGGTGACGCCCCCGCCTGGGCCGAAGCAGAGCAGGCCGTCAAGGACGGCAAGACTGGCGTAGTCAGCGTGAAGTCGGCCAAGGCAAAGCGCAAGGCCGGCCCTACGGCAGCCGAGATTTACGACGAGGCTCTTGGGGAGAAGAAGCACAAGAAGGCGAAGAAGTCCAAGAAGGACAGGGACTAAGTTAAAAGACCTGGGGGAAAGAGTGACAGAGGGGGTTTAAACAAAAGTGTAAAAGCATCTTTACTTACAGGGTGAAACGGGTATTTGTCCTTACTTGGGCGGCCTCTATGCGGAGTTGGCTTGGCTTTGTTTTGTTAACAATTTAAGAAATTTTGAACTTCTTACTTCAAGGACAGATGGATGTTGGTATCCTCCTCCTTCCGGATGGAAGTGTCCGAAGACTGGACGACTTCTTGAATCAGGTGACTGGCCGGCTAATTATGGTGACTCGACCCTGATGTGATTTCTGTAATCTGAAAGAGGGAAGGAACGAAGATGATGGAAGAGGTAGGCACCCTCCCTTTCTCTGCCCTCCTTCCATCTTCAACCTCGGGGCCGTTCCTTCCTTCGTTGTATGCTGCCCTCCTCACCTCGGAGAAGGTACTATTCGCCTCGACAAACCCGTGGCAAGCACCTACTGTCATCTGACGACAACACCTCGACAGTTTTGATTCTCACCATTTCGAAGCTTCGTCTGGAGGTTGCTTCCTCCACTGCCACAACCTTGAGACCTCAAATCGCCCAATCGCATTTTCCTCCCCTCGTCGTACCATCAATCTCCATTACCAAAGCACCAACTCGCAGGTCGCCCACGCCATCTCTCGCCATCATAAACCCCAAATCCGAACCGAGAAAAAATGTGTACCGAAACCATCGCCCTCTGCGAAAGCTGCGGCCTCCACAGACACATGCACTACCACCGCTGCACAGCCTGGCTCTGGTCCTACCGCCAAATCAAATGGACCTTCACCACCCCTCTCTCCTCGACCCCGAAACCCAAGAATTGCCCCTTCCTCGACGGCGAAGTCAAGACCGAGATCCTCCCGGGCAGGTGTCCCAACGCGGCGTGCCCAGGCCACAAGCTGAATGACGCCCTCAACTTACAGGCGGCCGCGGACGGGACGTTGGACAGGAGAACGGACGAGCAGAAGATTGACGCGCAGAGGGTCAAGATGGGGCTTAAGAGGCGACCCGGGCCGGTACAGGCGTTTCGGGAGCCGTTGGAGGTCGGGAGGCCGCATCAGAATCGGGTGCCGGTTGTGATTATGGATGGGAGACCTGATGAGGGGTTGGGAGTTGTGAGGGGACGAGGGAAGCGGGTGGAGGGGATGGGGATGGCGGAGATGGAGACGGAGGGTGAGGGGGCTATGGGGGTTCCGTCGCCTGGTCCTGCTGCGAGAGTCCCTGTGAGGAGACATAGGACGTTTCATGGTCCGATGATGAGGCCTCATTGATCGTTGAAGATTGGGACTCATCGTGAACTCGTCGACTTGACGGCACGATACTACGAATTACGAGGGATGGGAAACGAATGATGACCAACCGGACTGGGGAGGGACTGATAAAGGGTACTAATAATGGGGGAAGCGTCCATACTGTAGCGCTGATCGGAAGAGTTTCTCTTCGCTTTAATCATGAGCGACCATTTCTAAAGATCATGAGATTCCCCCAAAGGCGTGAAAGGTGTTTATGGAGTCGCGATGTCGTGTAAGACGGTCGTCGGCGCATGCCCACCGAATTGTCCAATCACAGCCAAGGCCACAGCTAAGAATGTTTCTAACTACTCGATAAGTTGGTTCCTGCATCGCGGCAAACCGGCAAGTCAAGTCCGTAAGCCCAGGCCCCAAACAGCGCGAATCAAAGCCTGTTTTCATCGCCTGCTTGCCCCCCTGAACTTTGTATTTTGGAGAAGCCAATCTCGGTAGTGGGGTTCATTCCCCCTGTCGATGGTCGACCATCCACTGAGAAGCTCGAAGGATTCACGTCTGGCCTCCGCGCGACCTGGGGGATCAACCAACTTTTTTATGCTAAAATCCCGCCCCGTTCGTCCCATTTGTGATTGGTTCCTATGTAAACATTGGACCATTCCCCGTCCTGTCATCCCGTCTTGTCCTCCTTCTAGGTTGTCAACTCAACACCTCTCTCCCACACGCTGAGTCGTTGAATCCATTCATTTGGACGAGAGTTTGGGATTGTCAATTGACTCTCTGTCTCTCCCTTGACGACTAGACATCACCTTCGTTTCTGATTTCTGGGGAAACTCCACGCGCTCGATTGCTTGACCCTACCGGAATCGAACCACTCGCTCGTCTCTTCAAAGCTCGTGAAGCTCTCACCAACTCTCGATCCGCCAACCTCTCTCCCAAACCCTCAAAATGCACACATCCAACCTCGCTCCGGCAGCCTTCGCCGCCCTCTCCCTCCTCCTCAACCCCGTCGCCGCCATCCCCGCGCCCGTTCCCGTCCCCATCGCCGCCCCCGAGCCAACCCTCGTCGCCCGCGCCGATGTCATCGCTCCCACCGCCGCCTGGATCAGCGTCAACAACAAGGGCGTTCCCACGACCGTCACTCCCGTCCCGACCACAATCTCCGGCACCGCGACCTACGCCTCCGCCGCCCCCAACGCCTTGACGGGCAGCGTCTTCACCCTGACCGACTGGCACCTCGTCAAGGTCACCACCAGCACGGGCACCCCGCCCGTCGCCACGGCCGATAGCAAGAGCGGCGCGGGGGCGTTCGCGCCGTGCAGCAACACCAAGGGGGACTTTTCGCCCTTTTGCGATCCGAATAAGGGGAGCACGCTTTACACCGATGGGACCTACTATGGTAAGACCTACCATCTCGGGTTCACCTCTCCCTGTACAGGTGATGAACGTAATATATCGAACACCAAACTGACCATCCCATCTTCTAGTAACCTGGGACCCCACCGTCCTCATCAAAGGCAACAAGACCAACGTCAACGTCAAAATCCAAGGCAAATCCGTAAACGGCACAACGGTAGGTGACATCGTCCTCAACGCCGACACAGACACCACGAACCCGGCCTCCTACGGCTACTACGCCTGGACCGTCTCCTCCAGCCTCATCCCCGCAGGCCAAGACAACGCCACGATCGAGCTCCTCCTGTCCTACACCGTCGACGGCGCCGCGCAGGACGCCATTACCGGCCCGCAGGTCCTCGTCGCCAAGCGGCCGGAGTGGCACCCCGAGGCCGCGAAGATGCCCAAGGGCGCGGAGCTGTACATCGCCCTCCCCACCGTGTTCGGGTTCATTATCATTTGCGTCATTGGCGGGTGTATCTGGAACCGGCGGACGCGCAAGATCGGGCTGGGGAATATCATGAGCCGCTCGAGGCACGGGTACGGGGTCGGCAAGTCGCGGGCGCAGAGGCTGGGGGCCAAGGTGAGGCAGAGCGTGTTCCATGGCGGGCGCAAGGATCGCGGGATTCAGTTGAGGCAGAGGGAGATTAGCCCCGATGGGTATGTGTACCGCGACGAGCCGCTGCCTGATCAGCAGCAAAGGCAGCATACTGGTGGACTCAACACCAACAACGGTGGTGGTCTCGGCCATGCTCGGAGGGATAGCGATGCCCTGGGAAGTCTTGCCGGAAGCCCGGTTTCGGCTACGTTCCCGCACCATGAGCCCCAGGGCGGTAATGCTTTCAGGGAGGAGATGAGGAGGCAGGAGAGGGAGAGGTATTGAGAGGAGTTATGAACTTCTCAATGGCATGCCATTTCGTGTGCTGCCGAGAGGAAGCTGTGTTGTTTGGTGAGGCTACCACAGAGGGTAGTAGGCGATGATGGAAAACATGAGAATAAGTGTCACGATATAGACGACGCAAGATTCAGAGATGAGTTGATTTGGAGCTCATCTTCGACGTAATATGTAACAATAATGAAACTCATGAAGAACATAAAGGCCAATGACTTCATCTAGTGAGATTGTGACCGGTGTCGTGACGTGCTATATTGCTACTTGGGAAGTACAATCAGCTTATGTAGTCAACAGCCTGAGGAGGGGACCGGTGAAGGACATCATAGGGTAGCTCCTTCATCTCAATCGGTCTTGTAAACAAAGGTCTCTTTTATCCAAGGCATGAAGCGAATTTTCGTTCTAAGCAAAGTTAAAGCTCCCCTTTATTCCTGAGCCTACCGAACCTTCAAACAAAGGGCACGATAGGGTCGCACATTCACATCTAGCAGTCTTATAACATACATCTTTCTTCTTTCATCCAAGGCTGTAAAGCGGACGTTCAATTCTGGGCCAAGTTCGATTCTCTATCCTCTCCTTGTCCTTACACTCGGGCGCTATCGCTGGAGAGGGCGGCAATAACGAGGACTTCAAGAATGCCCACATCGTGCCTTTTTCCTTTATGTCATCACTGCCCATATCTCATATACGCCGTATGGAATATGTTGAAGATATTAAATATTGCTAGACCCTGTTAGTTTCACGCACATTGTCTTTGGTCTAGAGGTATGGGCATCTTGGATTGCAAAGGACCCGGGCTGTTGTTAAATCGTTAGTGACACATATGTCAGTCACGGGAATTGACCAGTACCTTGGCATCCAGGGATGTGGTCTGTTTTGCTGGAGTTCAGAGGTATGCCCTGGACATCTTAGTTTTTATAAGAGCCCGTCGTTATCAAGCACATCGTCAGTTACAAATACGTCAGTAACGGAAGATAATCAGTATCTCGGGATTCCATGCGCATGAACCACTTTCTTGTTGTCTCAATTGCTTGGTTCAAAAGCAATGAGCATCCTGATTATCTGAGGCAGGGAAACCATTCGCCGCACCCATGTGTGTCACGCGCACACGGGTTCAGTATGACCGCTGGTCCTGCTGCAGGTCATGCTCCCGAATCCGTATTTTATAGCTATTACATCGATATCTTGGTATCTAGGGGTTGGGGTTGGGTCCCTATCCAAATAGACCGCCGCCATATATCTTACTTGATGCAGTGGGTGACCCTTAATTTCTACACGACCGAACCCGTCGTCGTTAAGCATATTATCAGTGACAAATACGTCAGTCACGGGGAACGATCAGTTATGAGTGGCCCTCCTTCATGTTGTCTTGCTCGGTCTAGAACGCATAGACATGGTCAGTTCATAAGGCAGGATTACAGAACCACTGGCCTCAGCTCATGTGCATTCTGCGCACACGAGTCAGTGCTATTACTGACCCTGACAGCTTTGTTAAAAGCATGCACACACCCTGGGCATCTTAATACTTAGTAGAACCCGCCCTTTTCAAACACATCGTCTGTGACGAATACGTCAGCCACTGGAAACGATCAGGAGTACCTTGGCATTCAGGGATTTTGGCTGTGGTCTTTTGTCCGAAGGGGCCGCTCTAACCTTGGTTTAGAAGCATGGGCATCCTTTACAAGGCAGGATCACAGAACCATTACCCTCATCCGATGTGCATTACTCGCACATGTGTGGGTGCTACCGCTCACCTAGCTCCCTTCGCAATATTTTATAGCCGTTGCGGTGTTGTTCCTGAGACTGGTTAGGAAGACAAAGAGGCATTCTGCTGAAGACCCCGATAAAGCAGGCCCTAAGATCATGTCTCCCTCAACCTCTTGCATATCACTTCTCAAACGACTGGACAGGCGGATGAAGTAAAGGTCATATCAGCATGTCAATTCGTAAGGTTTATGACGCCGTCGCTACTGAACCGAGAGCCCTCCTAGTTTCTCTGCAACTCCGGCCGTTTGCTGGATATCACCTACTCCCTTGGCACCATCATAGGCCGCCCAGGTCGCAGCACTTCACTTCTTGCCAGAGCTACCGGAGCTTCCACTGCCATAGCCGGATGAGCTTCTCTCGCCATTGGGAGAGGTGTAGGTTGAGCCGCCGTTGCCATCGTTGTAGTAGGTGCTGCCGTTGGGGTTAGAGTAGTAGTAGGATCCGTCACTTGAGATGTGCTGGTCAGCCTCCTTTTCTTGATGTCTCGAATAGGACAGGGTAGGACGAGAGATACTGGATTGAGCACTGAGAATCGGGAATAACAGCCCCCTCAGACAAGCAATCGTCATCCGGGCAAGAGGGAAGAGCAGCAAGTTGGACTCACGTGTTAGAGTAGTGGTACGAGTTGGAGTTGGAAGCACTGCTACCGTAGTCACGGGCGCAGTAGTGGTTGCCCTAGACAGCGAGTCGATATGTCAGTCATGCTATCTCGAATTTGAAGCTTCTATCAGCTTTGGGACTGAGCGATCGATGATTACCTCACTGTTGGTGCCGGAGCTCTTGTACTCGTAACCTTGTCCGCTCATCTTGACTGTTTGCTTGTCGGTCTTGATACGAGGTAGCTGATTTGGATGGTTCTGTTGGCGTACTCTTGGGAGGTTGTTGCGTAGAGTTGGAGAAGAGAACACAAAGTTGTGAGCTCACCGGGAGTTGGTGGGAGATTAAATAGGTAGGTACCCAGGCAAAACACCTTGATTGATCACGCAAGGTCTATCGATACTTTCCTTCTCTTGTCCACCCCGCATCACGGATTGATCGTTAGCGGGGCAGGGACAATCGGGAAACTACTTACCTACTGTACATTGCCTTACCTTACTTTGTGTGTTGCCTGTGGCTTGGAAGAAGCTCTCATGTGCCTTCCCGCGGGGCCCGTGTCAAAGCTCCAAAGTCAAGTCAGGCAGGAACATGTGATTGCATCATTTGTCCTTCTTATTGCCCGTTACACGCCTACCTGATCACAATCAAGTTTTCAATGTCAAGAAGCAGCAAATAATCGCAGCATGATACCGGTATATTGCTTTTCCCCCGACAAGATAAGGCGTTTGTCCCCTTTCACCCCGCTGCCAAGCAAGCTGCCACTTCCATGACTGGATCTGGGATCATCCCGGTTGAAGCCCATATTTTGGTGGATCTCATACCAAAAAGGTAAACATCTCAGTTGACAGAAGAGCCTAGCATTCTTGTCCAGAGAGACAAAACCAGAGGTATTGAGATTGAGAGCTTGGGAATGGCCTCTAGCTCGCAGAGCATAATAAGCCGTAGACTACTCTCAAGCGCGTCGTTGGTAGGTTGATGTGACCGGCAGTCGAGTGGGATGAGAGCCAGAGAACCCCTCACTCGCACAGCTGTCCCCCACGTTTCAGGGATCAGCTTGCATGGAAAAAGCAAATGACATCCCTCAAGCACCAACTCACTTGTTGAACTCACGCGCCTCTCATTCCTACACCTCCGAACCAAAACCAGATTTCGTATGCTACCGCATCTCGCTACAGGTATCCCAATTGCGCGTAAAACCCCCAAACAACATAGTATCCATCCCATTAGAGGCAAATAAGAAAGAATACAGCACCACAATTTCAACAAATACAATCACATAATCGCTCCGTCGTCACGCATTACAAGCCCCCCTCCTCGTCGTTATTTCATTCCGACACTTAAACCAAGTCAGTCACAAGTCACTCAGGGTGCGGAGTAAACACCCAACGCAAGGTAAGGTTCCCTCAAAGCTTGCTTACTTTTTGCCGTACCCGGAGCATGTTCGGTATCCGCTAGCCGAGGTGTACGGTGAACCGCCGTTGCCATCGTTTTGATACCTCTCGCTCTTGGGGGTTGAGTAGTGAATTGAGCCGCTTCTATCCATCGGTTGTCAGATTCCGTCGGTCATGGCTGGGTCTCTCTCTCATGCCCCTCATGTAAGATTCACCCCGGCCAACAGTTGAGGACTAAATGAGGATGGATGAAAGTAAGAAATATTCGAGACTCACGCGCTGGGATACTGGTATGAGTTCGGGTTCGCGGAGCTGCTGCTGCTGCTGTTTCCGTAGTCGCGAGCGCAGGAGTAGTTACCCTAGTTGTTTCCCTCGCAGTGAGTACTTTGTTTGCTTTCACGAGAACCTCGCATTGAGTTTGGGTTCTCAAATTACCTGGCTGTTGCTCTTGTACGAGTACCCCTTGCTGCTTGGCATATCGCCGATCTTGAGGAAGTGTGAGCGGCAGGTTCTATTCCTTAGTTTCCAAATACTTCTGAGTTGGAGTTGGGCCGGGGAAGATGGATCAGCTCAATCAAAGGGTGAAGATGTCGTCGGGGGCTTGTTTTTTCTCTTTTCGCTTCTGACACAAAGTGGAGATGGGGAAAGAGAAGACGAAGAAGGCGAACTTAAGTATAAGAAGAAACTCTCACTTTCTCTCTCCAGTTCACGGCACATGGTACGAGATACAGATCAAGGTACATAATGGGCTGATCATAGGCGATGCGTGGTTTGAAACGCCTGCGCTACTTCACCTTACCCCGCCCCACGGGAGCTCATTGGAGAGAGAGCCCATAGTGAGACTTTTTTTGCTCCTCCCTTACTCTCTAATAATTTCCGTGCCTTTACGAGTCGGGTCCATTGACAAGTTTGGATGGGATGGATGGTGGCATGGGGGTGGGAACGGACGATGCGGCAAAAAAAAAAAAAAGGACCAACGAGTGGATGAAAAGGGATGCATTGGGCAAGGCGTCAAGCGTTCGAGCCGCATACCGCATGGCCCCCTCGTGGGTCGAGCGAGGCGAACACGCATGCGCTGGCAAACGGAACTGGTCTCTGCATCGTTTCTTTGGGCGCTGGGTTTTCTGGGGCATTAGGTATCGGTAGGACGGACCAGTCGTTAGGTATTTTAAGCTTCATGTGGGGGGTCCGGTGGGCTTGAGGCCTTGGGGAGGGAGTGGTGAGTTGGAGGAGTCTGCTCTCTGCATGAGCAGACTCTTTGGATGAGAAGGAGTCCGAGATGTGGAGGGGGGCGAAGGGATGACTTGGATTCTGCAGCGAAGATTCCTCGAGTTTAGTTACTAGGTAGGGACAAACACGGGGGTACCTGAGCTCAGGAAGCTTCATAGAAACTTGGGACGACACAGGACCTTGTTTGCATTCCTTCGATTTTTGATGAGGGAAACAGCGGCTCTTTGAATAATAACGTTGCCTCCACGCTGACGTCTTAGCTCGGGGTGGTAGTCTAACAAATATCAAGGAACAGGAAAGGCATTAAGAGAGAGCAGCTGTAACCGCAAGGACCGCAGATCCGGGAAAGCCCGGCCACAAGTAGGGGACCGGCGGACGCGGTCAGGGGCATATATCTCCGAGATCTGCTTCGGTCGACTCGGATCTGACTCCGAGGCGATGGGAGAATACCACCCTTTTTTGGTCTTCAGTGATTTTGATACGCTTGAATTCAAAAGTCTATTTTTTCGGTGCTTTTTGCCGGCATATCTAGTCTAGAGGCTCTTCTATATCATTATGCGGCTCACAAAATAGCCCATTCACGACTCTTCTTTTTTTTCTTTCTGAATTTAGAGGTGATGATCTAGTCAGTTGGAAGGGTCCTTGGGGTCGCCGTCCTCGAGCTCGGCGAGGTACTTCTCGGCGTCCATGGCAGCCATGCAGCCGGTACCGGCACTGGTGATGGCCTGTCTGTATCTCTTGTCCTGGACGTCACCGGCGGCGAAGACACCCTCGATGTTGGTCAGCGGCGTGCCGGGCTTGGTGACGACGTAGCCCTCCTCGTCGGTCTCGAGCTGTCCCTTGACGAGCGAGGTCGCGGGCTCGTGGCCGATGGCGTAGAAGAGGCCGTTGGCCTCGAGCGTCTCCTCCTCGCCCGTGACGGTGTCCTTGACGACGAGGTGGCTCATGAGGCCGTCGTCGCCGCCCCTGATCTCCTTGCCGGCCGAGTTCCAGCGGATCGTCACCTTCTCGTGGCCCTTGAGGCGGTTGCCCATGATCTGCGAGGCGCGGAGGACGTCGCGGCGGACGAGGACGGTGACGTGGGAGCCGTACTTTGTGAGGTAGAGGGCCTCCTCGGCGGCCGAGTCGCCGCCGCCGATGACGACGAGGTGCTTGCCACGGAAGATGGGGACGGCGCCGTCGCACACGGCGCAGGCGGAGACGCCGTTTTGCCAGTACTTGTCCTCGCCGGGAAGGTTGAGACGCTTGGCGGAGGCGCCGGTGGCGAGGATGACGGCGTCGGCGGTGTGGGTGGTCTCGGGCTCGAACTCGGTCGAGTACTTGAAGGGGCGGGAGGAGAGGTCGAGGTTGGCGACGGTCTCGGAGATGATTGTGGTGCCGAAGCGCTCGGACTGGGCCCTCATGTTGTCCATGAGCTCGCCGCCCATGATGCCCTTGGGGAAACCGGGGAAGTTCTCGACGTCGGTGGTGGTGGTGAGCTGACCGCCGGCGGCGATGCCGTTGGCCATGAAGCCCTCGTACAGGACGGCTGGAGGGGGAAAGTATCGTCAGTGAGATGGTCCTGGAGTTAGAGGTGGGGGGGACTTACGCTTCAGCTCAGCGCGCGCCAGGTAGACGGCGGCGGTGTGGGCAGCAGGCCCAGAGCCAATGACTGGTATGAGGTCAGCATGGCGCATTGCAAGATTTGAAGCCATCACGGCTCGACCATGTTTGAGAAGCATGTTTGTCTCTGCTGGTCTGCAGGAGGGGCAACAAGGCAGGAACAGAGAGTCGTGACATACTGACAACCTTGCTGTGCATTTTGCGGGCACTTGACTGTAAATCAACAGGGTTCGTAGAGTTCTTCTTGAGAGATGTGGTGGCTGCGGCAAAGGATAGACCAGTGGCGCTTGAGCGAAGAATTGTTCGTCTAAAGGTTGAAGAGAACAGTTTGGCGGTGATATGCGCGTTCAGGAACACGCACTATCCTCTCCAAAAATGGCGGGGTATCAGAAAAAGAGAGATATATGTACAGCAAGAGGGGAGGAGGGGGGTGCCACAGACTCACAGTACGCCAGGGGGCGTGTGAGAGAGAGGAGGGGTGGAGGGGCAAAACGAATGGGAAGGGGGCAGGACGGCCACGGCGACGGGGTTTGCTTCCAATCAAGGCTTGGAAACTCGTGGACCGCTATCGTGACGGCAGACCCGGGATGGCAGTGGTAGCACGGAGTACAGACAGTGGTTCTGCAGCAACAGCAGAACAGCTAAAGTGATTTCTAATGGTGGTGGCCGGGATCTGGGAGACTTGATGCGTTGCGCTGGTGGTGGTGGTGGATTCCAGAATTCCAGAAATTTTTAATCGGGGCCTGCCGCACGATTCAGGGTGCATTTGATAGCGTCTTGTCAGTCGGCCAAGCCAAACCGCATGTGGTCTGGATGCGTGATCGGAGTGCCGTTTCTCTGTCGTGACTGCGTGGATTACCTAAGCACCGAGTCGCCGACTCCCCGTCCCGTCGGTAGCCCCCACTTGCCGAGGCTCTTCCGAGTGACGCAACTCGGCTCCGAGCCACAAATCTGTTGCACGGTGTGCCGTGTACCTACCTTAGGGACCTCTCTCTTCGTCTTCTCGTGAATTGTGGACTGAGATGGTCACCGGTGTCGGGAAGTTTATAATCTACAAGGGTTCTCATGGTGCTAGGAATCTTATCAATCGCATCAGCATTAATTTGGAATTGTTGACGTCAATGAAGCTCCTGCCTCATAAGACTAATGTCTAGATTGGAGCCAAGAACGTCTTGATCGGCGACATATCAAGAATCCTTGCGTGCAAGTTTTCAAAATTATCGCGCACGCGATCAAGGGGATGAGTCAATATTGAACCATGAATCTTTCCTGCAGTCACATGCTTCTCCGTTTCTCCAAGGCAATGAGTGTCACGCTTCGCAAGTGCGCTTGCTTGGGGATACTTTTGACTTACTAATCACTCAAGCCGAGTGAAATAGAACTACCAAGATCCCTATATGCATGCTCAACCTCCCAACCTCCTTCGAGGACGTCTGCGATACCGTCTTTCGGCCAGTGAAGAGCCCTTTCTACGTTGACGAGCAAGATATATCTTGTTGCCATCTCAACATTCTAGAAACGGCTACTTCAATCTGGCTGAGGGTCTTATATCCCGGTAAAGTTAAGAAACCCGCCTACAGACGAACCCTCAGTCACAATCTCTGGCACGCCAGCGAGGCAACTTTGCTTGTCCGCAACTTATCTTCCCTGACTTGGTAGGCAATTATGTCCGTCACGCCTCTCTTCTTTTATGCAACCATGCCGAACCTCGCTTCTTCCCGCTCTCATCGCACACACCTCAGTCACACCTCCATCGTCCTCGAGTCACTCACTACGGCTGTGTGCTTGGTGGCGGCTCATGGTCGAAGTCTCAAAACAGAGCCTCAGCTACCGATGATTCAGCCTTGCAGTACATCTGTACCTTGAGCAAACACCAACAGGTCAACCTTGGATCGGCATTTTGATCATATGTCATAGGGTTCAAAGTATAAACATTAAGTGCCGGCAATCAATGATATAGCCGTTCGATAGATGTCATTACTCCAGCCTCTCCCCAAGCCCAAAGACTCCAGGCATCTCATTCCCACATACTCAGCCCTACGCATCCGGCAGCCCAGAAATAACAACACCACTAACAAAATCCCTGGCGTGCCCCTGCGTGTCCATCTTACCAGTCCCATTCTTCAGGTAACAATACTCCCCCGGCAACTTAATCATAGCAACAGACCGACAATACCCTCCCGCCTTGACATCCCCGCTGGCGAGATTACTCCCATACGCCTGGTTATGCGCCGCACACAGCGCCATACACTCCTCAAACGTCGAGACGTACACCTTGAGGATATCATACAGCGCCGGGTTGCCGTACGCCGCGCCCGACGGGTAATTCACCTCGCAGAGCTGGCGGAAGGTCTGCGTCGAGTACCCGGAGCCGATCTTCATCGCGTTGCCGCCGGCGTCGGTGGGCGTGTAGGTCGTCGTGTTGATGCTCGGGCAGCCGCCGTCCGTCGGGGCGGCGCGGATGCCCGTCGGGATCGAGCGGGTGGTGGATGAGGTTGCTGTCGAGCTAGAAGATTGGGCGCCTGTGCCTGAGCTTGCGCTTGAGGTTGTTGGCGCCGATTGCGAGCCTGCTGTTGCTGAGGTTGTTGAAGATGGATCTCTGTTTGCACGTTGGGATTCAGTCACCTATTCTCGCATCTTCCGGACATGGGTGAGTGGGACAGGTGAACTTACACTGACACGGCCGAACTGTTGGACTTCTGCGCCGCCAAACCCCCCGCCACACCGCCGGCGATACCCCCAGCAAGGATGACCACCAGCGCAATCACCAAGCCCCAGAAGACAGGCACCGTCAGACCGAGAACGCGTCGTCTCTCCGGCGGCGGCGGCGCGTCTGCCGCTGCGGCGGAAGTGAGCGCCGGATGATAGGCCTGCGTCATTGTCGTCCACGTCGACTTTTCCAACGGGCTCTGGAACTCGGAAGGGTCGTACGGGATCGGCGCGGTGGAGTACCGGCTCGGTGCCGCCTCGAGGCCGGGCTGGTCTGCTGGTACCGGCGCCGCAGCCGTTGCCTCCGTGTGAAGACGGTGCTGGATTGGATCGGCCATTCCGCCAAAAATCTGTGTCGAGTTTCCTCCTCCGTTACTCCAAATTGTACGAGGCCTTGAAGAGGAAGGAAATAAAACGCGTACGCGCGCGATTGATGATCACAATTTGAACAACAAGAAGGGCATCAAGACCAAAAAGGAAGACAAGAGCAAATGTGAAATTAGGCTGCCAGCCGAGTACTTGAATGAGAGCTCAACCCGCTAGGGTGAACACACCGTTGGACCCCCCGGCTACGATGGTACTGTAAGCGGCAACCGAGCTTACCATGCAGGCGCGCCACATGGGGGTTCATTTTCTTTTTGCACGATACCTCATTGAGTTGAGAACCCATGCGCCGAGAGCTTATTTTGGGATTGGGAACAGCCCGAGCATTAATACCTTCCCTTCTCCTGAGACAATCGTCTCTCTGCCTCGTGGTAAGCGCACACGCGACCGCCCGGCGACGCCACGCTCCGTCCCATGCAATTTAGCCTCAGCCCTAAAGCGCGAACAGTGAGAAGGGGGAAGAGAGGAAGGGGGGGCCAAGCGTATGATGAACACTTCAAGTGCAAGCCGTTGCGACCGCAGGATTTTGTCTACGGGATGCTAATGAACCCTTTTCGAAACGGCGCCCGATGGCGATGGTGGTGAGGGCGGGTGAGCGGCGGTTGGCTGGCTTTGGGGTCGTAGCCGCCGGGGCGCCTGCATGTGCTTCGCCTCGTTGGCGCGTCAACCGAAATAACTCGTGTCTAGTCTGCGTCTGAGCTGAATAGCAACTGCAGCTGTATAGAACTCTGTTTTGGTTGAGAGGGATTCTCGTGGCCGAGTTGTAGTTCACGGTAATTCGTGGTTTTCGAGGTTGAAATGACGGGCGACGATGGATAGATCTAACTTTCATATGAGAGTTACAATAACCCGAACAGCAGGTATCACGTCTTGAATGATCATCACCATAGATGGAAGCAAGACGACTGATTACAACGACCGCGCCGATTTGGCAACCAACGATGTCCTTGGATATGAGATTGAAGCTCACGATGAGATTCTTTCACAATAGTGTCTTTTGCATTTTCTCGGCGACCTTTAACGGCTTCAGACTCACTCAATAATGGTACAACTTGAGAGTCGCCATGTACCATGACTTCAAGAACATATCTTAGGTTCCATCCGCCGAACCCTACCAGATGTCAGATACGGCAGAACCGGATGACGTGACAGACTGAATCCTGTATCTTGAGCGTTGGTGATATGGGAATATAGAAGTTGGCCTATTGGCCAACAGAATCTAGTGCACGATATCAAAGAGAACTACAGATTCAGGGATTTCCATAGCTATGGCTACGTAGATAACTTTCCAGATTCAGAAGCTGCGGAACCCATTTCTCCTCGAATATTCACACAACCAACCCCTCCAGCCACCATCAAGCCTCAAACATCAAGAAAGCTCATGTCTCCTATCATGGTTACTAGACATCTCATTCGGCACAGGCTGTCCATGCATCTCAACCGGCACATACGCCGTCCGCTCCGACTTGGCCCACGGCGACGACGGCCCCGTCCCGGAGGAATCCACCTGGCTCGACAGCGCCGCCCTCGTCTTCCTCTTCTCGCGCAACAACATGACGGTCAGCGCCGCGATCGCCAACGCCAGCGGGGCACCGATGCCCACCCCGATCCCCGCCGCCGCGCCCGTCGAGATCCCGTTGCTGAAACTGGATTCTGCCGCCGTCGCGGAGCACGTTGCGGCGGCCCCGGTGCTTTGTCCTGCTACTGCCGCGGTCGCGGTCACCGTCGTTGTCGCGAGGTCGCCGAGGTCTGATTTAAGGTACTCGTTAAGCAGCATCTGACCCGCGGGAACGCCAAAGGTGTAGTTTGCGCAGTTGCCGGAGTTTTGACATGCGAACTTTTTGTCACCGCATAACGCGACACCGCAATGCCGGCCGGGGACTATCATAAAAGTCAGTCCATACTAACCCAAGGCACAGAACTCCCCCAAACAGAGAACATTCTCCTCCCCCCGTCTTCCCACCAAGAAGTAAGTTTCTTACCTCCGCCGGTAATCTCCTCCTTGTCGCAGTACTTCGGACACCCGCTCTTCGACCAATTCTGATCTGTACACGCGCCGCGGTAGAAGCTCAGCTCCGTCTGCGAGAAGCAGAGGCCGTTGCTCATGCAATAATGATTCTGGAAGCAGCACGCCGCGACCTCGGTGCCGCCGGCGACGGGACACGCAACCGCCTGCGTCGCCTCGACGCCGTTGGGCCAGTAACACGTCTGGCCTGCCACCGCCGTGACAAACAGCACCGCTGCGAGGAGCCGCCAGTGTAGTAGCGGTAGACGCATTGTTTACGATGGGTGCTGCCCCGAGCAATCTTGAAGAAAGGTGAGAGAGAGTTTCGGCACGACGGGAAGAGAACGCGAGAAAAGCCTTGGGTTGGTGCGGGACGGAACGCTGCGATTAATAACTCGCAACTCCATGCAGGCACAATGGCTATGCTTCAATTTCCTATGCCCCAAGCTGTGCATTCAAAGTCACCATGAAGCCAGGGTCCCAGAGACATACAGCGCTTGGCGACTGATTTTGGGGGTCGAGGGATTCGCATCCCTGACCAGCCTTAGACGCCTTGAACGAATCACGCCGCACACGGGCTTGACTAGACGGGTTTCGCGCCTCCTGGAAATGACCGCAATACAAGACTCTCTCAGCCCAGTTGTCATTGACTTCTAAAGTGTAAGGACTGCCCAAACTGTTTCGTAGGAGAGCGCCATAGGTGTGGTCTGCTGCAAACACCTGCAGGTCCCTCTCCACCAGCTGCATGGGTTACCAGGGGTTAATTCTGTTGCCTTGCGGCCCTTACCGGGATGGCTGCGATCGTCATCGATCCCCTCAGTAGGAAGAGACGGCTTTCACAGGGGGCCGTCTTTTACGAAATGCAAATTGGGAATAGCTCACAAAAAGCATAGAGATAAGCTTGTTGCAAATCGCGAATGACCATCTCGCTAGTACGCTAACGGACATGCTCACTATCATCATCAACCCCTCCTGCATCTCGCCGCCATGACTACCATGCACCTCTCGTTCTGTTTACAGATTTCCATTCCATAAAACAAGCCGCAATGGCCGAAACGGCAGCCAACGGAATCGCAGCAGTGAGCACCACGCGAAGAGCGTCATTGTACACGGAAACCATTATCGGAAGCGTCTCAGCCGGCACAACCGTCCGGAACGCCGTCACCCCGGCCCCGAGCACCGCTGGGATATCCACCCCGGGAGCCGAAGCCCGCAGCAAGTGATTCTGGAAAAGCGCATTCCCGATAGACACAAAAACGGCTCCGCCCAGCGCCTGCGACGCCACGACCGCCGCAGTCCCGACGGGTACCTCGTCCGGCGGCAGGACGGCCTGCACGGCGGTGAACCCCTGCTGTATAGCCATCCCGAAGCCCGCCGCGACGAGAATCTCGAAGCCGATCCAGTGAGGCGTCGGCGTGTCGGGCGAAAGCGTAAGGAGCTTGCCGCACCCAGCTGTCGCGATCATGCCTCCTATTATGGCCGGGGCCGGGGGGTGACCCACGATGGAGACGAATATGCCTGCTAGCAGGGAGAAGAGGGCTATCGCGGCGACGTACGGCAGCATGTCCACACCGGAGGATAGGGCGCTCTCACCGCGGACTGCCTGGAACCAGATTGGGAGAAAGTAGATGTGGATGAGAAGGGCGCCGTACGTTGCGAAGGCCGCGACGCAGGAGGCGGCTACGGTTCGTTGGGTGATGATAGCTGGTGTGAAGAGCGCGCCGTCCTGTTTCCACCACTGCCATGCCGCGAAGACGATAGCCGTTGCGCCGGCGCCTGAGAGGAGGCCGATGATTCTTGTGCTCGATAAGGGTTCGCCTTGGGTGATGTACTGGAGGGCTAGGAAGAGCATTACGCAGGCTCCGAGGAGGAGTACGTTGCCTATCAGGTCTAGATCAAAAATCTTGTTGAGGAAGGTCTTCTTGTGCTGTGGTTGCTGCCGAGGGTGGAAGAATAAGAGAAATACGATGAGGGTGAAGCCTGCGATGGGGAGGTTGATGTAGAAACACCATCGCCACGTCTGGAGACGGAGTCAGTCTTTGTCTTTTGCAAACTATCAGGCCACAGGATCACTCACGACAAGGCCAGTAAAGACACCTCCGAGCAGGGGACCGACCATGGCGCCAAGACCGAAACTGTCGTTGTGTTAGCGTCAATACGTCTGAATTTCCCTCTCTTTGGATGGAGGTTTCTTACATCAATCCGACGATGGCCGTACAAACCGGCCGCACCCTCACGGGAACCGCGGTTGCGATCACAACAAAACTCCCGGTGAGGACCCCAGCGCTTCCAAAGCCAGCCACGGCACGGCCACCGATGAGCGCAAGAGAGCCGGGGGCGAGGCCACAGGTGAGCGACCCAGCCAGGAACAGAAACGTGGCGAGGACGTATGCCCACTTCACGGAGAAGAGCATAAAGACTCTGCCAAATACAGGCTGGAAGGCACAGATCGTGAGAAGCTGAGCTGAGCCGTACCAGCCAATGTCTGCAGTGGACTGTAACTCCGATGTGATTTGCGGTATGGCCTGGTCCTGTTAGTCTGGGTAGTTCATCAAACGACATGGTCACTTACGGTTGTGAGAAGGGATCGATCTGCCGAGATGGAAAACACCGCGAGACAGATCCCAATCACCAGAACCGCGAGCCGCCATCCTTCTACCCCCTGCTCTCCTTCCACCTCGCTGCCCGAAGACGGCGACACCACGGAGCCATGCTTCTCCGCCCTCGCCATATCAAGATACGTTACTTGGCGCTGGTAGTCCCCGCCATCAACCTCGTCAATACCCGGCTCGAATTGTCTTGCGAAACGGCTGATCCGAGCATCGGTCTTGCCGGGATGTCTCTGTTCCGTGACAGGCGTGAGACCCTGCTGTCCCATCCCCCGCGGCTCACTACTCGATATGGACCCGTGGAGGGAAGGATGGCTCGCGAGGTGCCGTAGTTGCGGGGCGAAGATGGACGATAAAATTGACGCGGACTCGAGTTGCGGTGGTGAGGAGGCGTTCCATTCTACGTCGTCTGTTCTAGAGCGCGTACGTGAGTCTGAGACGGTGTGTGACGGGACTCTCTTTATGGCGAAGGGGGAAGCGCTTTGGGTTTGCGTGGGCGAGATCGAGTCTTCGCGGGGGATCATGCGTACGGCGCCGGATTGTCGTAGGGATGATACCCGTCGGGGGATCGGTGGCGGTCGTGACCCGTCGGTTAGGGTTGTTGAGGATCTCATGGAATCGTGGCGGCGGCATTGGTTTTCGTTGTAGAAGCTCTGATATGCCATCGAAAGTTCGCTGTTCCTCTTGCGTGTCTCTTCGTCTGTCACATCCGTCGCCCTCTTCGCCTCAGCTTCAGTGGCAGAGGGATGGTCCTGTGATAGGCGAGCCTGTTCTTCCCTTTCTTCCGTCACAGATCGTGGCAGAATGCCCTCCCCGTCGTTGCCATTCTCCTCTGAGTAGGATGAACGTAGGTTGTCGTCGAGGCCAGGTAGATGAGTAGTATGGGAGTGTATGACTGAGATTCGCGAGCGCTCCACACCGAGAAGGTCTGAGGATGGCCTAGATCCGAGTGAGGGCCTTTTTGTCTGGGGTGCACCGCTTCCAGCTACGGGCTCACGCTTTTCAGCATCCTCTCCCATATTCTTGTCATCTCGCATGCTGGAAGAGCTTTGGAAGCTAGTGTATTGGACGGCACAATGCTTTGTGTACTTGATGTTTGGGTAAAAGTTCAGAAAAGAGGTGTTGTTGGGCATTGCAGGTCTTCCACAAATCTTAAAGCTGCCGCCTTCTGCTTAAGAGGAGGAGGCAGAAACCACCCACAGTCTCGATTTAGCTTCATCACTAGTTCATAACCTGCGGTCAATCGACTGTCTAGATCATCGGCGGCGCCCGAAAAAACTGGTAGAACATCCTCAGCTGCGCGCGAATTGTCATTAGCTCGATTTAGGAATAGCCTCTCGTTGAACGTACTTACTACCGAGGCGTTCTACGGAGTAGCTGAACGTCAGACTCCAAAGTGATGGGCTGAGCTAGCAAGCAAGACTGCCCGATGTCGGTAGGTATGGGTCTGTAGAGCATATCGGTTGTGAGACAGGAGGCAGCATGCCATGTGGCTCACGGGCAAGACTGGCACCGCTTGCCAGATCAAGGACTAGATCGGCCAAGTTTGAGTGCCATTACTAGCACACCATTTCTGACAGCCATCATCTCTCGATGAACCGCGGGGGTCCCCCGTTAGAACCATGAGGCTGGTGAGCTGTTGTTGAGGATCGAACAAAGCACGAAGCAGCAGCCGAGGGGGCGCTAGCACTTGGTGAGGGGAAGTGTGGCGGAAGAGGGTGCCATCCACGGCGCCGGCGCCGTGGAATTTGAAACTAGACGGAATTCCGGGGCCGATGTCTTTGTTTGTCGGGACCGAAGACAATGAATTGGGATGGGAACGTGAAACATGGAGTCCAGAGGAGGCAGGTGGTGTCCTCGTCATCATCGGAGAGACAGGGAACTCTGCAAACTCATCGCTTGCTTGGCCTATCCGTGCAGCTGCATTGCTTTTCGTCCATGGAATGAAACATGGGAGTCTTGTGTATCTGTATATCGTTTCGGGTCAACAGCGGGGGTAGACTTCGATGCGGTCTTGGTGATGAATCAGAGGACAGAAGGATAACATCAAACTTGTCCCTGGTGGGTCATAGGAAGCAACTGCTCAACCTTGCGTCAGTTACAGAACAAAAGGGACTTCTGCACAGAAGCTTAAGATGGTTATACCCCTAATCCTGAAGCGCAACGCTACCGCTTTCTGTAACTTTTGCCTTCGAGTCCCCCTGCAGGCATCTCTTTTTTTTTCTTCTAAACTCTCTTCCTCTTATCACTCCATTGTTTCTTCATCATCGACCTTTCCCTTGATTCAGTCAGGTAGCCGACGGATTCTGCTACGCCGTCCATTCGCTAGTGGCCGGTATTGTTACATGTACGATTTCTCATGTCTCATAAGCCATGACGCCTGCTTGTTTCTGCCAGTTTACTGGATTATTGATCACGATATTGGTGTGGGAGGTTGGAAGAAGTTCAGAGTTGAAACAAGGAGAGGCTTGCCCGCGCTTCGTCACTTTGATGCCGTCCACCTGGAGGAAGCCGTCCTGCCACCGGCATTTAGGCCAAGCGCTTCATCGGTTGAACTCATCGCAAATACAGCATGTGCTTGGCAAAACTGAAGATACCTCCAGCTCTAATTGCATGTGATGTCCGCCAATTATCTTACTCTAAACAACTAAGGCGCACACACCTAACAACACCACTTTCATGGCTGTGGCATCATGGCAGTGTGTCCGGCGATTGATCATGCCAGTAATACAATTTCCATTCATCCT